TATGTATCATGAAAGGACCAAGCACATTGATATGAGGCAGTATTTTATTCGGGATGTTGTGGCAGATGGGAAGATCATCGTGAAGAAAATTGCTACAACTCATAATCCTGCGGACATGCTGTGACATCCCAGGTTTGGGGCACAACACCTTAGGCGAATCCCACATCGGCTACGCACAAGGTGGAAGTCCTATACATAAAGGGTGGCAACCTCTAGTGCGAATCCCACAATCGGCCTACGCACAAGGTGGAAAAGTCCTATACAATAAAGGGTACCAGCCCTAATCCGAGGGGATGCCATACGCTTTGAACATATGGAATTCTGTGTGTACGCCCGTGTTGCGAGTGTAAGTTAATGAGAGAATACGCTCAAGCTATGCAACCAGCCCAAAGATTCGCGGTGAGCGCTTCCCACATAGGAGGAGAACCCAACGAGAAACGTTCAAAAAAGACCAGGGCTGAAAGTGGTAATTTCAAGTGTTGATTATGGACAAACATCACAATACAGCGGGACAATATTGTTTCCTTACACCATTATACGGCGTCTGCCCAGGAGCGGTAGTACACCAATAATTGTCCCGCTGAAGTCTTACGGTAGTTTTTGACTCAGCCAGCGCAAAACTGCCAGCATGATCCCATCACCTGGATGTCATCCTCAATAGCAGTACGGGGTGGCAACACTCACATCAGCGGAGGACGCTGAATAAGTTCGCCCTTTAAGGGGGGTGTATCGTGGACAGTGTCCCAAGGCTATTTGCGCGAGCCATTCCAACGACCTTTAGTTGCTGACCCGTGAAGATGGGCTAGGTTTTCTAAATACCCACATCTCGGCTCTCTAACGCACGAGGTGATAAGAGATGCGGCATTATTAAAAACACTCAATTGCGTTTTCCTGTTTGGGCAACACTTGAACAACTAGTGTGACGCGTTTTGGAAGGTGCGCTGGAGAGCCGAGCGAGACCGAAGATCCTCTCCGCAACCAATGAAAGTGGAATTCTGGGCCCACCTGCCAGTAAGTGAGCACACGTCAGAGACACTCGTGATTGGGTTCAGGCCAGGTTTGCACCAAAGCGGACAATATCACACTTAGGGCTGGTTCGGGTTTCGCTCCCCCGCCTATGTCTAGCATAGAATGCCGGGGGGCTTGGAGATAGATAGCCAGCGGCCTGAAAAACACTCAAAGTTGGAAGTAGCAGAACCCTGGCCCGACAATCCCGAGAGGGCAGGTCTGGCGCTGTCTACACATGTCTCATAACCGAATACAAAAATTCCGTCACCATCCGATTAGCCTTATCGCAAGAGGTACATCAAGTTCAAAGCTCTCATCTGTGCCTGTGTGCACCTCCATGTTGCGAATTTCCAGTATAATTGTCATATCTACCTAATTCTAACAGCGCGCCAAATTTGGACCAAAAGGGGCATGGGCGGATTCCTGAGGAAAGGAAAATATGCACATCATTTTGTAAAAGGAAGATCAATCTTTAGAATTTCAAGGTTAGATTTCACAAAGGGATGAGAGAATTGTTTCCACAATTTGCACTTAGAAATTGCGTGTAAGAAGTCTATGTGTAGTCATCACTCTCTCAACTCTCTCCAAGAAAAATGAATATATAGGTTAGTTTTGTGTTTATGGGGGTTGTTGCCCCAAATCCATTTTCTCCTCATGGATTCATACTAGTCTTTTAGGGGGCGCGGCTAAAGAGAGAACTATCAATGTGGTTGGCTATGTTGGTGAAGCTAACTTGGGACTAGGCCCATGGCAACATTTTCAACAATGGAAGGAAGACTTGAAGTTATGGTTCACAATCGTGAACTTTCACTCACTCTGCTGGATCATTAATTATCGGGCAATCGCCCTTGTTGGAGCAAATTTCAGACTCCACTACATCACAAAATGCGGCCACAGAGATACTTCAAATCATCAAACCCGAGAGGAAACTAGTGGCCACGGTCCAGTAAGTTGGCAGTATTCTGCCATTAATAGCCCTTATCCACTCTCTTCATATACCACTCCTTTGACACTCGTATGGTGTATATAGGTACTCAGGCTCCCACTCTAATGCCATATTCACTGTATCTCGAAGTCGGTGATTCGGACATAGATAGTTCTCCTGTAGATGTGACCACAATCCAATTTAATGTAAGGATCCTAAAAAGGTAAAGGTGTTAATCTTGTAAGATAGTATTATTAGTGTGTAATTGGTTCCTTGGGTTGCGTGTTTACTTTAAGTTAAAATTCATTTGTGGATTTACTCCATATACTATGTCTTCATAGATTTGGCGTGTGACTACTCTCTCGCACTACTCCCGTGCGTTTTTTTCCAAATCTAAATAATCAGCATTTAGTATAACAGGGAATTATACCACATGTAATAAATCTAAATGTGTTTCACCTCATAATGCCATTTATTATTTTTCTCTCTCTTCATTGGCCATCTACGATCAAGGCATTACACCCGAAACTAAATATTTATCCATTAGAGCGCAGCTCCACCTAAAAATTTCCCTCGGCACGACAGAATAAACAAATGTGAAAGTGCCGAAAAACAAAATATTATCACCAAATATTTTTAAAGCAATTTAATTACACCTAATACTACCGAAACTAAATATTTATCCATTACCACCCTAAATTCCGCAACAATAACAATTAAATGGGAAAAACAAATATAAATTTTAAACAATTAATTAACAACGTAAAAAAAAAAGGTATTTTACAATGACAAGTAGTAATCAAATTCAACGAATTCTCTAAATGCACGCTCACACGTTAAGCGATTAACATTCAACCAAGAAAACGCGGTTTCTATAAATACACTATATGTATGATTTATTTCATTAGGTATTCAACTGAACTTTTACAACTCAACTCAAATAAAAACACTCTCACATCTCACCACACTCTGCACACACCTCACATATTCTCTCATTTTCTTTTCATTTGTGTGTGGTGCTGCGTTAGGCTATAGCCTATTTACAGGCAAGTAATATGTTGCCATTTTCTCCTCTAATGGCGCGTCAGGCGCTGATACTCTAGACTCTATCCCTACTTACAGATGCAGTAATATGTTGCCATATTTTCTCCTCTAAATGGCAGGACATTGACCAAATTTCTCCACCAACCAGGACCCAGAAATTTGTGTACACAATTCCTCGGCTTTATTTTATATTTATTATTATTATTTATTAATTTTACTTTAAATTAGTTGGGCATCCGAGTCCTGATGGTACCCTAAGAATTCATCAAATATATATTACGTGGGTACATTACTTCACTTCCTGTACAAGAGAGACACCCCCACATAGAAATCTCTATCCATAGCTGTTTGGAGCTCCTTTGCCTATTACGATAAAGTATGTCCTCTCCGTACAAAATTACCAAAATCAAATGGGAAGTACGAGGTAGAAGAAGTGCAAGAACACCTTGATGACAAGGAGTCCCGAAAACACAAAACCGACAAACAGGGCAATACTACGAGGGCCGAAAGGCCTTATTAAAATGAAAAGAAGGCCACCAAAAAGGATATCGTATGCGATCTCTTCCCTTGGGTAGATCAGCGAGAGGCTGTGGAGAGGCCCGAAAGCAAATAAAGTCTACTCTCTCAGACAAAATCCCGTCCCAATATATATTGTTTATTGTGGGCTTTCCTTTTAAGCCACCATTGAAATCAGGAATAATATTTAATACATAATGAAAATATTTTATAATATTAGAAATTTAGAAAAATTAAATTAAAATACAAAATAAAACACCGAGGCGTCGCAAGAAAGAAAGACAGGGCTTAAAAACCAAACAGCTCGAGGAGCTTGCGGGAATGTGTGAGTATCGTGTTCACAGTGCGTGTGAAGCTGCGAGCCTCCAAGAGTCTGACAGATGACTATTGTTGGTATGGCTTAGCTGGTCCTACGCTAGAAGTGTGGGTATCGACATAGTCCTCTACGGGAGTCATATGCCGATTCGCGAATGGCGAATCGGTACACCACCAGGAGACCCCATTGTTATCCTTGCGCCATGCTTTCTCAGATCAGAGGGAAAGCCCATGAACCAAAAATAAACTTATACCAAATAAAATAAAAGATATTTGTTTTTGACCTGCGAGCTTTTCCAGGATGGGGACTATAATGAGCAAACGTTTTGAGGGAGTGAATGATCTTTGTCTAGGTAGTGTTCCTTATAGGTATACATGGGAAAGTTTGATCGTTTACTTACACAAGAATTGTATGTACTATCAGGAATGCAACTGAATTTGATTAGTTAATTTTGCAGAATATCCATCGATTTTTTTTATTCTTGCAAAAGCACGAAATCTTAAAGTCAGGAGAGGCGGGATGGTCGAAGCTTTTTCATACTGAGAAACTAATTGCTAAGACTAATCACAGTGAATTTTTATCAAGTGCACAAGTGAGCAACATAAAAACTAAAACAATTATTTCGCGTTTCTAGGGTTTCAGGACAAACCACCTGGAGATCATTACCCTATTATAAAATTTTCATTATTTAATATGGGGTTGCCCCGAATACTATATAGATATATATATATATATGATCTTATTGAACGTCAATTGCAGGAGGGACCTTCGCGCTGTATTCTTTGATATGCAGACATGCGAGAGTGAGTTTGATACCAACTCAGCAGGCGGAGGATAAAGAAGTTTCCACTTACAAGTTCGATTTACCAAATCGGCGCAGTGTAAAAATGGCTTCATATGCAAAATCATGGCTAGAAAATAGGAATGTAATGAAGTATGTTCTTTTGTTGACAACAATAATTGGTGTGTCGATGCTCCTTGGAGATGGCATTCTTACACCTTGCATATCTGGTAACCAAAATATATTTTTATGTACATTTTCTAAATCATGACCATAATGTCAAAATAAAATCATAAAAAGGTTTGAATTTGTGGGTGCAGTACTATCGGCAGTGGGAGGTCTTAAAGTCGCTATACCTAGCCTTACAGACGATGCAATAATGTGGATTTCAGTGGTGATTTTGATGGAGATGGCATTCTTACACCTTGCATATCTGGTAACCAAAATATATTTTTATGTACATTTTCTAAATCATGACCATAATGTCAAAATAAAATCATAAAAAGGTTTGAATTTGTGGGTGCAGTACTATCGGCAGTGGGAGGTCTTAAAGTCGCTATACCTAGCCTTACAGACGATGCAATAATGTGGATTTCAGTGGTGATTTTGATTTTCTTATTCCAACTTCAAAGATTTGGAACACATAAAGTTGGGTATAGTTTCGCTCCAATTCTTGTACTATGGTTTCTTCTGATTGGAATTATTGGGATTTTCAACTTCTCGAAGTATGATCCTGGTGTAATCAAAGCTCTTAATCCATGGTGTATTATACAGTATTTTCAAAGGAATAAAAAAGAAGCCTGGATTTCTCTTGGAGGTGTCGTTTTGTGCCTTACAGGTTCACAAGCATTTTTTGATGATTTGGGCCATTTCAATATTCGCTCAATACAATTAAGCAGTAGTGTTGTGCTGGTTCCCTCCGTATTGCTTGCTTATCTTGGCCAATGTTCCTATCTTCGCAAACATAATGCTGATTTTGCCTCCGCCTTTTATAGCTCAATTCCAAGTCAGTATTAAGCAGTAGTGTTGTGCTGGTTCCCTCCGTATTGCTTGCTTATCTTGGCCAATGTTCCTATCTTCGCAAACATAATGCTGATTTTGCCTCCGCCTTTTATAGCTCAATTCCAAGTCAGTATTTTTTCCTTTCCTTTCTCACTTCCTTGTTATTGTTATGTTATGGATTGTCATAGTTTGGTGCAGAAGCATTGTATTGGCCACAGTTTGTTCTAGCTATATTGGCAGCCATTATTGCTAGTCAATCATTAATCTCAGGTTCCTTCTCCATTGTCCAACAATCTGTAGCACTTGGTTGTTTCCCTCGAGTCAAGATTGTGCACACATCTTCAAAATATGAGGGACAAGTTTATGTGCCTGAGATCAACACTCTTCTAATGATTGCCTGTGTATTAGTCACTTTTGGCTTCAAAAACACTGTTCAAATAGGCAATGCATATGGTAATTAGTTAAAGATATAATTTTGATTATTTAATTTAAGTTTAATATCTTGACATTGACTAATTCTTTAATTTTCTTCTTACAGGAATTGCTGTGACATTTGTTTTCGTAATATCTTGACATTGACTAATTCTTTAATTTTCTTCTTACAGGAATTGCTGTGACATTTGTTTTCGTAATTACATCTGCATTACTTGTTCTCATTATGGTTATGATATGGAAGACAAATATAATTATCATAATCTTCTATATATTAACAATAAGTTCAATAGAGTTGCTATTTTTGAGTTCTACACTATACAAGTTTGTCGATGGAGGATACCTTCCTCTATTATTTGCATTCGTTGTGGTCTCTATTATGTTCATATGGAATTATGGCTACAGGAAAAAGTACATGTACGAGCTTGAAAATAAGATTGAAGTAGAAAAGCTTACTGATATAATCTCCAATACAAGGATCCATCGGATTGAAGGTCTTGGTTTATTCTATACTCAGCTTGTTCAAGGCATATCTCCTATATTCCCTCGTTATGTGTCAAGCGTTCAAGCTTTACATTCAGTTCTCGTATTTGTTTCCATTAAGTTTCTGCATATTAGCAAAGTTCCTGCAGAGGAAAGGTTTCTGTTTCAAAGAGGTGTTTCCATTAAGTTTCTGCATATTAGCAAAGTTCCTGCAGAGGAAAGGTTTCTGTTTCAAAGAGTAAAGCCAGGAGAATTAATATTTCGATGTGTTGTGAGATATGGATATGCAGATTCAAGAAAGGATCAAGGGGCTCAGTTCGAGCAAATGTTGGCTAATCAGTTGAGGGAATTTATTCAAGAAGATAATAGCAATAATGATATGCAGAGGGAAATGGCTTTGGTTGATAAAGCTTTAACAGATGGCATCGTTTATTTGATGGGCGAAGGTGAAGTTATGGCTGTAAATGGCTCTAGTTGGTTTAAGAAATTGATTGTAGATGATCTCTACAATTGTCTGAGCAGGATTGTGAGACAACCTGATGAAGTTTTCTTGATTCCTCGCAAGCAATTACTTAAAGTATGCATGACTTACGAGGTTTAAGATGTTGAAGTCAGGTTCAATCAATTGCCTTTTACTGATATTAAAGTTGAGTTGGGGCTCAGAAGTGTTATTTAGAACCATTTGCATATTTGTAATGACAAATTTAGATTCCAGTAAACTTCTAAAACCATACTGCAGGTTTCTAATCTTTCTGTGTTAGAGCATTTGATTCTGCTTTTTGGTGGTCATGTTGTCATATTACAGCAACAAATTCGTGTTGGTATGATGCTGGAGAAAGTGTCTACTCCTTTGAGATCATCTAGGTGCAGGATGACCTTTCTCAGAATAGCATACATAAGATCTGTCTCATTTTCTTTTAGAAAATGCTTAATTTGGCTTGTTTAATCTTCAAGCATCTGATAAAATCTTCTCCTGAGAATAGCATACGATCCTTCTCATTTGTAAGATTTTTTTTCCCTTGGAACATGAAACTCCACGGGGTGCAAATGATTGAAGGCTTAGTGGAAAAATCATGGTTATCTTTAATTACATCATAGTTTTGTTGTAACTATAAATTAAATTTTTGTTAATAAAATAAATAGTAAACTCATTTGTCAACCATAATAATTTGATTTAATTTCGAAAAAACGTCGATTAAAAAGGAAAATATATTTCTATCAATGAAAAAAAAAATATTTCTATCAATATTGAATTTAAAAATATTCAATAATACTATTAAATTAGAAAATATCTACACATTGTTTGGGTACATCAAAACAAATATTCTTCCCTGAATCAATAATAGTTACTCCTTGCGGTAATGAAGGACTATTGGCTCTCATGTTCCATTTTTTTTTCTCTTTTCATGCATCGATCTTTCCCATTTCTTACCAACTCAAAAGACCAACCCCAACTATATTGTAAATCGAAATTTGTATTATTGTATCTATTTAAAATTGCTTAACAAAAACAAAGAAACCTTTAGAAACCCTAATCTCAGAAGCTAGAACTCCAATCCTATACGTATTTTATGTAGTAGTTGATACTGTTTAAATGTCAACTTGCCCAAGATTTAGATTGTTCTATCTTAATTTAATTTTATTCCCAGCAAAGAGTACAATGTCTAGTTGGTAAATAGGATTAAATTAATAGTGGTCCCTTTCCCACAGTACCAAATACTTATTGGTTAACAAAACCCTAATCCTAGATAAGTACTTCAACAACACTTTGGTCAACATCTACTAGTTTATATTGGATATGATTGGATGGGACTTGTTTTAAAATAATCCCCGATATCCCTATTAATGACATTGTTTTGGGATGTTTGGGTATCAGTGATAATGGACAGACTTTCCCAAACAAAAGAAATAGATGAAATCAAAGTGAGTGAATACTCCTATTAAAGAAAAGGATATGAACTTGAAATTAATTTTTTGTCTGATATATATTTTAAGATTTTACTAGAAAAAACATGAATGTAATCTAGAAAGGAAAAAACATAAGATTTAAGGATGGTAGTGATGAACTGACCTTGTTAATTAGGAGTTTCCTTCCTTCTTGTGAATTGCAGACTGCTCAGAAAAAGAATGAAACACTTCATATATTCATTCATCAAAACAAGATCAAGATGTGTAATGTTTTTTGTCATTCCACTTCTCACTCGTCGTTTGTGAAATCAAATAAAAAATTGCATATCCTCTTAAACTCGCTCAACAAATCGCATAGTTCAGAAGATATTATATATAACTATAAGATTGAGATTAATCAATAAATCTCATCATACAGTCAATTAAACCCCATGTTTCAGAAAAATATGAAATCATAATATGATCTACCAGAAGTCTAATGGCCGTTTCTAGCTAAAAGAAACACTTACCTAACTACCAGAAGTCTAATGGCCGTTTCTAGCTAAAAGAAACACTTACCTAACTAAGATGGCCTTGAACTTCTAGAGCTATTCCTCTTATCAACTGGGTCAAACTTCAATGGAGCTCGATTTTCTTCAGTAATAGTATTATTATTGCTACTGCTTCCCTTCTCTTGATTAGCTCTATCTCCTTCTATTTCCCTATATCTTTGTAAGTACCTTCTTAAAGGCTCTGCATAATCATCAAACCCTAAAGCTCCCATAGCCCAACAAATATCATCTCCATTGACAGTCTTCCGTCTTTCCTTTCGACACTTCTCAGAGGCTTCACTGGTCACAAAACTAATGAACTCAGAAACGCATTCTTGCATAGTTTCTTTAGCTTCTTTTGAGATTTTTGCATTAGGAGGCAAAATTTGCTTCATAATCCTCCCGACGTTGGCTATTGGCAACAACCGGTCTTGCTCTTTGATGCCACCGTCTTCACTTGAACCACTAGCTCCAACGTTATTATCTACCATTTCTTGATGAAAATAACCTAATTGGTCCTCCTTAATCTCAACCCAATAACCTTCTTTCTTCCTTCTAGGTCAACATCCATTTATATATATATGTGTGTGCATAACACATGATAGTTTTGAACTATGTCGTTTTGTTCAATATAACATGTGATTGTCCAACAAGATTTACATAATATGGTGGGGTTAATGCTCTAAACCCAATCTGTTGGAGCTCATTATGTAATTGGACAAAAAAATTCTTTCATTTGCAAATAAAAATTTATTTAGAATTTATTATTTAACCATGTCTAGTCATCAAGAAAATTAAGAAACATGAAAACACAAACAATGGTTGCTTAGAGAGAGGGCTTTGGTTGTGGGGCAATATTATAATTTATAAAAGGTACAAAACTTCATGATGTTAGCCATACAGTAGGGAACCTTCCCATCAATTTTTACAGTTTTACTCTTTAATGTTCACCAATTAGCTTAGGCAAAGCACATCTTTAATCACAATAATTATGCTAGTTGAGGATTATTTAAATGTATCATGTTTTCTCGTGGAGTTAACCAAACCCTACCTTATATATACAAATCAATATTATTTTTTAAAATATTTTAATATAAACTCAAGATTACATCATCTTATACGATATTAAATCATTATTTTATTATTTTAAAAAATATTTATAAAAAAAAAACTACCTGCTTTTGGTGTATGGGCCACCCCATGCACCAAGTATAGGTAAATCTTATTCAATACTCATATGTTCACGATAATTTATTGATATATATAATTTTAATTAAACAAATATTATCAGAATGGATTTCTCTCATATGATATGCTAGTGGGCATATCAGTGCGCATGCAAGCTTTGTTTTCTTCTGCTTATTCACATCCAGGACAGATTCAAATTGCTAGCAAACTGAAATTTTTTTAATGCCCTAGAAGTTTGAAACTCACATACAGAGAATCCATTAGAATATACTATGTTGTCCACTTCCATTTCACAGAGTTTCTTTTTTATCCTCGAATATTCTTTTTTTTTCAGGATAAGCGTCCCTATATTCAATTGAATAATGGTGCAGATAAAATCTTTATAACAATAGCTAGCAACTCTAAATTATTATTATTATTATTATTATTATTATTATTATACTCAAATGGATAATAGGTTTATGGTTCTTAAATACTTAATTTAGACATCAGAATTCGTCAACTTGCATTATTAATTAGCAGTTAAACACATGTATTTTCCCATATTATTAATAGTTCTGATGGATCTTTCAGAGAGAAGAATATTTTAGATATATACTGCAAGATCCCTTTTTTTTTTTTTTTTTTTTATACTTGGCAAAGATCGCCTTTTTTTTTTTTTTTTTTTCACAAAAGCCTTGTTCTGACCCCTTTTTTTTTTTTTTTTTTCACAAAAGCCTTGTCTGACCAACTGTATGATGAACTCAATTAATATATTCTGGAAGCAATTCTAAGTATATAAAATAATTATAAAATATAAATTTAAAAAAATAGTCCTCAGCCAATCATACACTTGGATCTTGTTCGGTTGTGAAGTAAATAACAAAGAATAGGACATCAGATGTTCATTCATTTACATTAAATAATAAAAAGGTCGTTAAGATTCTTTTTTTTTTTTTAAATTATATGTAATGAAAAATAAGAAAAAATTATATAATTAACAATTATATATCGAGGTTCGCTGTTCATAGTGTTAAATCTATCTTTGTCTTATCATGTGATAGATATGTGTCCTCTTTTATCATTCACTGATCCGAATCAAAACTTCATTTATTAATTTCTAAAAAAAAAAAAAACAAAAAGGAAAAGATTTGTGATTTTAATGAAAAAATGGGATACAAATATTCTTTTTTTTTTTTTCCATCTCACCGAAATTAAAAATGAAGTTTTAAGTTTCGTTAATTGACTAATTAAAAATTTAAGGTTGTTAGAAAAAGAGAAGGAAAGGAAATCCTACAATGACATCCACTACTGTTTTCATTTCTATAATGCTTTCAAGTATGGCCCACTCACTAAGGTTTGAAATTAGCATTTTTAGGATTTAATATTCTGATGATAATTTTAATGGAAGAAAGGAATCCATCAAAGGAAGAAACAAACCAACTAATCTAATTTGAAATTAACTAATTTCGGTTCTCGCTCTCCATACATCACCTACTATGGCTTCAAAGCTTGAGCACTTGCAAATGGCATCTTCTTTTAGGGTACTTCTGATAATTTCAGGACTGAAAGAAAAGAGCTTGTCAGTGTATTTATTAGAGAAAATCAATAGATGAAGATGAAGTCTCTTAATTTATTAATGTTCACACCGGTGGATACTGAAAATAATATTGGTAAATGGGTGAATAAGAAAAATACTTAGAATCCGTATTAAATCAATAAAAATAAAATTTTTTATATTTTATTATTTTTTTAATATATAATTAAAAACACTTTCATTTAAATACAAATTTTATTTTTATTAATTTATTTCGTGGTGGAACCGTGAATCCGTTCTATAAAAGTAAATGTCATTATGAAATGGTGAAAAGTGCATTATTGCAGTTTTTTTCATCCGACTTTGGCCATTATATGGGCTCTCTTCGGAAAAATTTAATTTCCTTAAATGTATTTTTATCTTTAGACTTTAGTGATGGGCCAAAGGACCATTTGGAGAAGAAAAAGTTCAATTGGCAATCTGCGGTCCATTTTAGAAAGAAGACCAACTCAGTTAAAAACAATAGTGGGCCACAAAGCCTAAAAACGTTAATATTATCGAGCGAAGAAGCACAACGGCTGAAATTGGGTTCTTTCAAGCAACGAAAAGGGTTGCGGAAAAACGACGGCGTTCATCAAATGAGCATCGCCTGCCCTAGATAACTCCGAAGACCTGCCGTTTGACGTATTCTAGAAAGCCGTCAGTTCAACGCCATGAACGTCCTGTAGTTTGTGTTCGAGCATCAAAAAAAAAAAAAAAAAAAAAAAAAAAAACAAAAAAAAAAAAAAAAAGAAAAGGAAAAAATCACAAGTACATTAAACAACGTAATTTAAAAAAAAAAAAAAAAAAGAAAAGAAAAAATCACAAGTACATTAAACACGTATTTATTTCTATGATGAGCCACTAATTAATAATTTAATGGGGTTAAGCATGATCAAATTGACTATAATTTTTCAATAATTAATATGGTTTATAATGGTTGAGTTACAAACAGAAAGACCCATAGATATATACAACTATTCAATAATTAAAAAAATAATAAATAAAGTCAAATAGAAAACTCATGGTGTACTGTACAATTCTTTTGGTCAATTGTTGAAAACATCATACTTTTCAAGGGATCTATCTTATTATTAATATAATTTTTTTTTATTCGTTTAAAGACTCAATAGATCATAATAATATAATCGATTAAATAAAAAAATAATTATTTCTCATAATTTAATAAATTGGTGAAAACTCTTATGATAAAAAAAAAATTTGAACTCAAGATTTCACAAGACACATTTGGTTAGCTATTAATGTAGATTATTAGTTATAAAGTAGTTGTCTTTTCCAATTACAAATTAAAGAATTTAGTTGTTTTCTACTTTTTAAATAATTAATTATTAATAAATAGTTAGCTAATTCAAAGTTGAAATTCCCCAACCTAAACTAAGAACCTTGAGAGGAAAACAAATGAAAGCATATATCTCATCCATAACGTAAGATGTTGTTTTGGCATCATTGGTCTTGATGAATGATGACATTGCTTAATGAAATTTTAATTAACTTTTGAGATTAAATTATAATTGAGTCAATAATCAATAGTCATTATATCTCAATAAGAAAAAAAAGGGACAATAATTATATTGTTTTATTTAATAAATAAAATGTGCTTCAAGGATCAAAATTAATTGCCAAAAAAAAAAATACCAATAGAAATATTTATTGTGCCAAAATAAAAAATCTACGATACGTTCACAATTTTAAAAAATTTAATCTATACCCTTTTAATTTAATTAGAGATGACATCAATTTGAAATTATACAATTTTTTTTTGAGAAAGGAAATTTAAAATTATACAATTGAAATTAAAAAAAAACCATAAATTTGAATTTAATTAAAATAAAATTTTTTTGTCATTTCAAAGAATAAATAATAATGGTGATTTCAAATTTTAAATTCTTAATTTTATAAGTAAAATTCTTTTGAAATTGCAGTCTATTTTTTATTAATCCAACCCTATTGATTATCAAAGTTTATTAAAAAGCTACGTTTACTGAGCATTATTAAAAATTAATTAATTAATTAATTAATGTAGCCAATATTTTAGTCTGCAAACCTAATTTGAGTGCCACAGCGAAGTCCCATGCCAAAGCTTAGACACTTGACAGTTTAAACCCAAAAAAGTTCCACGTGGCAGGAAATTTTCCTAAATAAGAATTTTCGACTGCCAATTGCCAAGTATATGTAGATATCTTCTAATATCGATTAATTCCAAAAGGAAATAATTGAAATCATTAAATTCTCCCCTTTTTATTTTTTTTAATAAATATATTTTTAAAGGAAACAAATCCATTCAGGGTAGCTTTGTCATTTCAACAAACAAATCCATTCAAAAAGCTATCTTTATTCTTACTCTCGTTTACAGCGAGTGACACGCACTCGTCAATTATCTTCCTAGCTACCATGCTGCCCCTAAGTAATCCTACGCCTCGACGCTCTTATTTTAACTTGCGTGCAACCCGTTGATACCAACCAATAAGATCTATGTGTGCTGAGATAAAGCAAAGACCCGTTTAAAAAAGACTTACATTGCTATGTTTCTAACAAAAAATAGATAGTTAATTATATGTTGCACATCTTATCTTTTTTAAGGATTTTCAAGATGTATTATTATGTTTTTTTTAATATAGTGAGAAATAATTAACTATTTATATGTTATTCTTTAAATACAGTTATCTGAATTATGAATTTTACAATGTTATAATAATTTATAATTAAGTATAATTAGATTTTAATTTTAAAATAAAATAAAATTATACAACAAGAGTTTACTTGTAATTATAAAATTAAATAATCTATAAAAAATTAGAAATTTTTGTTATAAAAAAAATTCAAATGTTAATTAAGTGTAGTATAAAGATTTTATTACTCAATTTTAATTTAAAAAATGATCTAACGAAAAATACTTTTTCAATCTTTGCAAAAAAAAGCTTTAAACTATCCACGTGGCATGTCAGTATTCAAGGAAAAACTATGCTACACTAGTTCATTTTCCACCTATTCTTCACTCACTACGGAGGAATCTTATTTGAAAAGCCAGGTGGCACGTAATTCAGGAACTGTTACATCACGCACTCGAAAAGCGAGTAGAGATATATCATTTTCGTCCTTGTAAACGGACCAGACACCCTCTCTTTCTGTTTCTCTCTCTCCGGTTCGTATTTTATTTTCCTCTTAGCGCTTCTCTAAAAGCAGCGACTAGGCAAGAGAAGGACTTGTGCTCTCTCTCTTCCTCATATATATATTTTTCAAAAATCTTCACGAAAAAATTAAATCTTTGCAGCCATGAAAACCCAGCTCTCTTAATACAGGTACTTGTCTCTTTCTATCCCTTCTCCATCTGAGTCTGTATGTTTATATATACCAGCTCTCTTTAATACAGGTACTTGTCCTCTTTCTTATCCTCCCTTCTCCATCTGAGTCCTGTAATGTTTTATAATACTATATATAATATATAATATATATATATAATATATATTATATAGTTTGTTTTGTGCGTATATGTTTATGTTTCTTAACTTATATATAGTTTGTTGTGCGTATATGTTTATGTTTCTTAACTGTGTGTGTATAAAGGGTCACGTTTTGTTTATTTCTAATCTATAACTTGTCAATCGGTGCGTAAGTAAGTAAACCCATTTTCTCAGGTTGGCTCTCGGCACTTGGGTTTTGACGGGTTTTTGGTTTTATCAATGGAGGTATGTCTATCCATCGTTTTATTTATTTTATATAGTAAATTTTCTTTCTTTTTAATGTATCATGTTTGTGGTTGTTATTAGGATTTAATGCTGTTTACTCTATATGGATTAACGGTTTGCATCAGTGTAAAAAAGTAAAATTTCTTTGGATCATTTTGCAATTCTCAACAGTGAGTAATAGTAGTTTTCTCGTGCTCTTTTTTATCGCTACGTTTTTTTTCCCTTTCTTTAGCTTTGAGTGTTCTTGTTTGGTTGGGAATTGGTTTAAGAGATAAATGTGATTAATGGGTCATTATGTTTCGATGGAAAGTTCGAGTTTTTGTTGTTTCGCCGTTTGGTACTTTGGTTTTGCTTCGCGAATGGATCTGGGGTTGATTACTTGAGTTTCGATAGCTACCTTCGGTGCTCTTTTTGCTTCTGCTTTTGTGGGGTTGGTGATTTCGAACAATACTGTTGGCGATTTTTTTTCCCTTCCTGTATAGAAATATGTGTTTCATTTATGCAAATATTTTTTAGCATGTCCAATTTGCTGAGAAGTATTTTTTTTTTTTTTAATTAAAATTTTTAAATTACTGCATGTTTAATTAATTTTTATAAATAAATAAATTTTTAAAGTTAATTAATTTTTTAGGCCACTAATTGAAATTGACAGTTAAAGCTGATTTCTTAGATATCAGTTACTGTATCTCTCATTTATGAGTCTGATTCTTTTTATCTTTTTCTTTTTCCTTTATTTTTTGTTTTGGTTAACTTTACTGTGTTTTCTGCGTACCAAGAGTTGAACCTTCTCATTAATCATATGCTTCTAGTTTTGTATTTTTATTTTATTTTTTTAAATTTATTATGCACTTGTGTAGACTTTTACCTGAATATGTTGTAGACTTGTATAGGTTTTCACCTCCAGGAATAACTTAACTTTGGCGTCTTTCTACTTTAATGTGATTCCAGTAATGGCAAATTATAGATATGAACAAAATTATTATATTATTTTAAAATAATCTTTGCATACTGAAAAACTATTTAGTTTTCATAGAAAGATGAATTTTTTTTTTGTTGAACAAGAATAGATATATTTCTAAGAATTTGAGATTGTTCTTTTCTTTTCATCTTGTTTATACTTGTATCTCAATTTAAAAACTTGATCTTATATATTTAAATGCTACATTATTTACTTTTAAATATGAAAAGAAAAAAGAAAATATAAGAATCATTTAATGTTCGCAATATTTGTAAAACCATGGTAAATTTATTCTTAGGTAATAATGCAAGTTAGATATTTGCCTATTCTGTTATCTTTTGAAATTCAATTGACCATCTTGGTTTCTTGTGACTCCTTTGCAGATGGATGCTGTTCAAGTGAATCACGATTGGAATTGCATTGGAGATGATTCTACTGAGCAATCACTTTATGCACAGGCTCTTGGTATAAGTGATGCCTATAGAGATCCTGAGCTGCTTCCTCAGATTGGAGATCAGCACCAGGTTGAAATTCCACCTCTTATGATAGAATCTGCCTATCTCTTGCTCACAGAGAAGGAAAATGATTCAATAATTGGTACTTCCCATGATTTTTTAGTGGGATTGCCCATATCATTAATGTGGATCAAGGAGGAAGTGGAGAACCCTAAACAGGAACCACAAGAATTTCCTGGTGATTTGATTGGCTTGCCCAATAGAAAAGAAACTATAAAATTTGAAAGCATTAGAGAGACACAGATTTTTCCAGGAGGTGATTTACAAGTTAAGACTGAGCCTAGGAAAAAATCTTATTCAAGTAAAGAAATTTGTTGGGAGCAAAAATATGGGAGATATACTTTCATTTTATTATGGTAAGTTTTATAGGTCTGACAGATACAATAGATGGTCAGACTGCCGAAAAATAAGAAGCCGAAGATGTATATATGGACAAAGGATTTTTACAGGATCCACTCAACAGGAACTGCTATCTCGTTTGTATTTGCTTGTGTCAGAGGAATGCAAAAATACTTTGATGGAGGTATTTTGTGAAGTATTTCTGCATGTTCTGCAATCTTTGAGGCTTTGACCAATAAATGAGTATGTGATGATTACGTATAAATCATGAATATAAAATATAATCGTATGAATCGATCAGTTCAGGATGTGTGTGCTGAAATAACTAATTGATCCTTTGCTAAATATATTTTTGAGCACTATCTTCAAAATTTATGGTTCATGTGGAAGGCACTTAACAATCAGAATCTGCTTTCTTGCAGCCTTACCCTGATTTATTTCTCTCTTTTCAGAGCAGTCATATGTTTATATATGTAGGATTTACCTACAAACATGTCCCTCTAGATGAAATACTTGATGTTTTGAATTTATTCCTAGGTTATGTAGGGAGGTGCTATGTTGGTTTCCTTGGTAGAATTCATTTGTTGATAATACTGTCCTCTATTAATAGGTTTCATTTTTCTTTACAATCAAAATTGCATCCATGATGATTTCATTTTACTGTTGTAACTTGGAGTTATTTCTCCATGGTAGTGTTTGCCAATAAACATGCCCTCTATTAAATCAAGGCCTAAGGGAAAATACATGTGGTAGAAATTGTTCTTGTTGTTGGTGAAACTTGCCTTCTTTTCTTAATCAACTTTATTAATTCCTTTAATTCAATTACTAGTTTGGTCTCTTGGTAGGTTGCCAAGACATTTGGAGAGGGGAAAATGTTGCTAGATGAGTATGTATTCACTTTAAAGGCTACAGTAGGATTGAATGCCCTAGTTGCAGCTGTGGGAATTGGCAAAGGGAAACAAGATCTTACCGGCATGGTTATGGAGCCTTTAAGGTCAAATCAAGTTGCTACTGTTCGTCCTGAAATACCAGTTGGCAAAGCTTGCTCCAGCCTTGCACCCTTGGAAATTGTCAACTTCCTAACTGGAGGTTATCGTTTGAGCAAAGCACGATCAAATGACCTTTTCTGGGAAGCTGTTTGGCCTCGTTTACTTGCAAGAGGGTGGCACTCTGAGCAGCCTAATGATCATAGTTTTGCTGCTGCTTCTAGAAATTCTCTGGTCTTTCTCATCCCTGGTATCAAGAAGTTTTCAAGAAGGAAATTGGTGAAAGGGAACCACTATTTTGATTCTGTGAGTGATGTCCTGAATAAAGTTGCTTCAGATCCAGCTCTTCTTGAGCTTGAACTCGGAGCAGATAAAGGATGCGGTAAAAAGGACGAAAACGGTTGGACCAATGAGAAAGTTTTGGACCAAGGAGATTTTCCTGATCAACAACGTCATTGCTATCTCAAGCCACGAACTCCAAGCCGCAGCATAGAGGTCATGAAGTTTACTGTTGTTGATACAAGTCTGGTTAATGGGGAAACGACCAAAGTGAGAGAACTAAGAAGCTTACCGGTGGAAATGATGAACATTTCCATCTCCAGAAGTGATTCTGAAGAAAGTGATGAAGAATCTTCTGAGGATACAACAAATGGATCTGATTCCTCTGATAATGTGAGTTTTGATCAGAATAAGACTGATATCTCAAAATCCATAAAGATCAATGATGATAAAGGAAATTCTTCTGACAGGGAAAATTTTGGAAATAATGCTTTAAAGCAGAGTTGTCCTATAATTGGTTCAGGTTTCACTGAGGTTCAGGTCAAAATCCCAAAGGAACAGAATGCTAGCAAGTATGATGACATGCAACCAAGAAAGCCTATCAAGGGTCATGCAGTCAAGAGAACAAAACCTGCGGATAATAAGAATCTTTTAGCTCCTGTTGCAAAACGAAGACGAAGATTAACTGCCTGTGACCGCGCAGCAAGAAAATGCAGTACAGTTGCTGCCTCAGTTGATTCCCGGTTAAATCAAGATTCAGTTGGTTGCACTTCAAGTAATTCTGATTTCCAAGAAAATATTCTCTCTCATCTGGGTCCACATCAGACGAAGTTTTCATCCACCAGTTCTTCATCCAGGGGCAGCCCTAGTATTACAGATGAGTGCACTCTTAGCAGTAACTCATCTGTTGCTGAATATCCAAATGAGAAATCTCAGCCCCGTACATTGATTGATCTGAACATACCTATTCCTCAAGATGTTGAGACTGAAACTTTCATGACAGAAACAACAGAAAGAAAGCATGGTCAAGCGAGTGGACAACCAGATGATTCTGGTATGCTGAAAAACTCCACATCAGCGTGTGATTCCACCACTGAGCAGCCTTCTAGCATGAATTCCCGAAGACAAAGCACCAGAAACAGACCACTGACCACTAAAGCACTAGAAGCTCTTGCCTGTGGATTTTTAAGCATAAAGCAGAAGCGTAGTAGGAGGGATGATTTCCCACTAGAATCAAGGCCTTCAAGGCGTGCTCGTAGTAGAATGAGAATCTGTGAAAACTTTGGTACAGACGTGGTGGATTTCAGAGGAGAAGACAGAGAAAATGGTGTATGTAAGAGTAACAGTGAAATGTTCAGCGATCTTCCGGTTTCATTTGCCGGGGGAGGGGATTCCAGATGCTGATTTGTCAACTTTGTAACATAGAAATGGGAATTTTAGTGTCTTTTTTATCTGCTATAGCTGCTGAAATATCCATAACATGAATAGTACAGCAATCTTTTTTCAGCTTCCAACTTCTGCAGCATAAATTTACATGCTAACTTTCCTGAAGGTTACAGTGGCATTGGATTAATCATCAACATGGGGAGAAATAATGGCTTGCCAGTTAAATTGTTTTTATTTATTTATTTATTTATTTCAGTTCTTAAACAACATTGGACAGAATAAATAATTCATTTGTTTCTGTCTCATAGTTAGATTCTTGAGTAACTGGTATTTGACTGTAAAGGTTGCGTTAACTGCCTAATATAGCCAGACATTGTTGATACAGATAAAGCTTTTGAAAGCGAAGAAGCTACTCCACTATGCTGTAATCTGACTGATACCCTCCATATGTTTTCCTCCTTTTGGTGGTTTTCATTTGAAGTTACTTAATGGTGGTGAGGTAAGAAACTTGAGCAAGGCCATAAAAAATCTTAGCTCATTTTTTTAAATAATTGTATTTTATCTCATTAATCTCACTCATTATTATTTAATTTAACTTAGTAATAGTAAAGTTGATAAGACCACTAACAAATTTTTTATCTTTTTTTTATGGTAAAAAATATTTACGTGCTAACAAAAATTTTTCTTTTTATTAATTTGGTTGGATGAGACCATGAACCGGTTTAGGCATGGTATTTCCAAATAAATAAAAATAAATAAAACCCACCTGAATCAACAAAACAAAAGAACAAATAGGAGGTTGACGCTGCCTACGCTAAAGGGATCCACGTGGCGGCCGTTTCGGTTCGCTTCTGTCTGAAAGCCAAGGTCTTTTAACCAGCGTGTGCTCTCCATACACCATACACCATAAACACAACCTTCCTCTTCTTCTTTCTTCTACTTAAAATCCCCAAAGCAAAGGCCAAAACCACCAAGGTGTGTAATTGTTTTTCAGTATTTTTTGTCCGCCCACTTAAACGACTAAAATTTCTAACGATACAAAATTAGAGGAATGGGTCAGGCATTTCGTCGAGCATCTGGTAGAATCCGAGCAGCCGATCCATCTCCGACTCCGAAAAGCGTGGGTGAACAGAGGCCTCCGTTGGGCACCACCGACAAGTTAGACATCTCGAGGAAAACCACTCAATATAACAATCAGGACAGTATTGATTCTGGTTAGTTTCTACGCCATTGCTTGTTCTTAGACGTATCAAATTCTGGGTGGGTAACTTAAGATTATTTTTGGCTTCATTCATGGGGAAAATATAACAGATTGAAGTTTATAGTTTTTTTAATATTAATTCGAAATGTTACAGCTGCTTTTATTTGTATTCCTAAGGCAAAAACTCATGCCAATTGATTTTATCTTCCATTTTTTTTTTCTTTTCTTAATGTTATCATCCAAAAAAGGCCATAGGATGAAATCTGTATTCAAGTGATCTGTTTGGTTTCTGAGTAAAATGAAGGAACGAAATTAAAATCAATTCATGCGCATTGAATGTGATGTAGTGGGCAATTATGGCGCAATTAAACATTTTTACATCTTGCAACCAAGTCAGTGTCTGGTAGAAAAACAATCTACAATGTTTCCCTTGGATTTACTTGGAGGTCTTAGAGACCAAAACATTGTTTATAAACACTTGCTCACTAGTGTCTCTTCTTCCTTATACTTTTTATCTCCTAGCTAAACTATTTGCTTGAACCATCATATCTAATTGATTGAAGTCAACATATCCTTACTTGTACTTGGTCACAATTTTCTTTTGAAGAGAGAAATGTGTACCTGTGTGTGTTTATGTGAGAAGTTCAGCTAGTGCATGTGTATATATGACTAGTATACATGTATGAACTCTTATGAAGAAGAGGATTACTAAAATTGTTCGTTTTATTTATGCACTGGGTAAGATGATGCTCCAAAAGTTAATGCTGATAATGTCCTTGAAGAACGAGATCCGCAATTTGATGCAATGCTAAGTCAAATGGTGGGTAGAATTAGATCCAAGCCTGGAGGGAAACTGGAGATTGGTGAGGTAAGTTATTGGACTTTTTATGGTTCTTTTTCAATTTACTTTTATTCAACTCCTGATTAATAAGTGTTATCACCAGTAAGCATTGTTACTTGTCAATTTTAAATATGCTAGAAACTTTGTCCACTTTTTAGCTTTTATCATAATGAGTTGATCATTATGCAGCCTGATAGGCATCAAATTAAGAAACAACTCTGTAAATTTCTTAAATTGTATGCATAATAGGTTTAATTTCCCTTGTTGTCGCCCAATTTATCTTTATGCATATTATCATTTTTGATATCAATTTGTGTCACTAAACATCAAATAAAGTAACACTAATATCCTTCATGAGTTAGTTCAATCAAAATCAAGTCATATGCGCCTTGAGAGAGATTTTTCTATTTCTTTTTGTTACCGTAATCCTTATGAGACTAAGTCAGAATTCCGACTTGATTTTGAATGGAATTTGGCACGAGGGATATTAGTATTACTCTAATAGATGTTTACTGAATTTTGAGTGACAAATTGTAACAAAACAATGATAATGTGCGCAAGTGATAAATTGAAGGAAAATGGGGGGATAATAGATATATTTCCATGCATGTAGTACAAGAAGATTGCTTACTTAAACCTATGAATTGTTTAGGGAATATTTTAAAGCTAAATCCCTAGATGTACTTTGATAAATCAATACACTCAAAAACATACATGCATGTCATGAATTGCTACCAGTTGGCATTTTTAGTGAGTCATCTGATAAACCCACTTGATCATGTTAGGCTTTATCCAAGTGAATGGGGTCTTGCTTCTCACTTTTACATGATCTATTGAAAGTACTGTTGGATTATGTTAACAGGCAGCTGTGGTAGAAAGGTATAATAGGCCCATGCCAAAGCTGCGGAACACTAAACCGGATTCTGATAGGTATGAAGAAAGAGCTACTCCTCCAGGAACTCTGAACGTGGCACAGCTGCGCCACCTCATGCTTCTGCATCAAGGCAAAGCAGATGATCACAATGGGCCTGTGGACATCCACCAGATTTCTGAGAAGTTTCAACTTGAAGTTGCACAGGTTCAGCAGATCTTGCAGTTTGTATCACTGCCACCGGAGGACAGCAACAAACAGAAAAGTTATCGGTGATCAAAGTCTTGCAATTTTGCATTACTAACATGATTAAATAATGAAGAGTTAATGTTGCTACATGAATACATTTTTGTTGGCCACGCGTGTGTTAGATCATTGTACCATAATCAATTTATGTTTGGGGATTGAAGGATGTCGCGACCAAGTTCATTTTGTTGGTACCATTCAACACTAGTTGTGGGGTTTTCCTTCACACAAGTATAGAGTAGGTGTATTTTTCCCGAGGATATTTCTAATGAAATTTTAACCTCATGCAGACATAAATTGGTTAATGCCCCGAGCACCTGAAAATCTAACATTCAATTCTTATGTTTTAGCAGTAAATATTTTATAATTCGTTACCCATCAGTTAATTGAAATGCAATAACTTCACCACATTCTGGAACAAGTTCTGAGATCTCATGAACGCAGTATAAAAAAATAAATATTATTGTCAATTGTGGAAACAATACAAAAAAATTCCCTGTATCTATTCTTAACTTCACTACCTTTGCTCTACAAATTAACGAACCTAGACGCTTATACATTACGATGACTAAATCAAAAAGAAACAATAAGGACAGCCCACTTCCTTCTTTGGGGGGACCTTTTGTTTGGAGATTATTGGAAAAAGAATGAGATGACTCCAATAATTAAGAAAACAGAAAGCAAATAGCAACAAGAAAAAAAAAAAAAAACATATTGTTAGTTTCAAGTCAAAATAGACTCTAGCCAGTCTGATGTAAATTCGTAAGCTACAAACGTTACAGCACCAGCTGGTGCAGCCTTGATGGTTGACGGGAGAATGCCCTTGTAAAGACCAGCCCAACCCTCTGCCCGCAGGATTCGTTGTAGAGCATCAAGCATATTTTTGTAAGCACGGTGCTCAACTCGAGCACCATATTTTGGGTGCCTTTGTAGTCCTTCAATCTGCCAGAGAAAAACAAAAATTGAAAGGTTCTATTTAGTGTTGATATTCATTGAAACGCGTTAAGAGTGGCCAAAGTTTAAATATTCAGCATCCAGAAATTTACAACTAATACTTATATTGCCCATATACCAAATTCAGCTCATTTAACCAAAATGACACTCCAACTATTTCTAAGAAATCCTAAAATTTACAATGAACAATGCATCTATGAAGAGATAATTATACAGCAGAAGTCCAGCGATATACCTGGAACCTTTTCTTGACCACATCAAGAGGATGACAGACAAGTTTGGCACATGTCCCAGCAGCTAAACCACAGACAAAGAGCTGAAAGCTTGAAAGGCTATCACCAACATTGATCGAGCTTGCATTAAGTGACCTGTTGCGGTTCCAGGCCTGCAATGGATGCAGCAAAATGTATAACAGTCCAAATATCTCAGCATGTATAAGCAGAAAGAAACATCAACCATTTAACTACAATTATCAGATCTTTTAGAAGTTCCCTAAGACACAGTTCTGCTCCAGAACACAAGAACAGGATATGTTGCAATGCTTAACCACTTGACTACAAATAAAATCTAAATCTAAATATTTATGACAACCCAATGAAATTAATATGGAACTGCTTCTATATCACAATTGCGAGTCTGGCTACCTTTTATAGAAACAGAAGGGTCTCCCCAGAAGAGCATTAACATAGCAGTTCTTTAGAAAGAGCAAAAACTTCCTTATGTTTGAATATATTCTCAATTTCTATTAGAATGGTAAAAAAAGAGCTTAAACCAGAACATAAAACTTCAGAAGAGGGTAAGAGTGAATCAACAATAAGTGATCTCGAAAAAACATATAAGCAGACCTTTTGGAAGGTCTGAACACTAATATCTATTATATTACTGCATCACCCCATCAGAACAATGTACTAAGGACGTAATATTCAATTGTTTCCTAATCACAGAAGATATTATCCATGCCTAGATAAGAATATTTGCTTAAGTGATACCATCGTCCATCGCTTAAATGTATCATAGGTGCCGAATTGAAGGCCAGCATAAGGAATGATCTCAACCAGTGTTGGTGATAAACCAGCATATAGACCTCTGAAGCCACGAGTTTTGACGATATCAATAAATGCAGATCTCATTGTCGGATACACCTAAAAGTGGCATAATGTTAGACATATAAGGTAGTGAAAACTTGTGAAAATTTGCAATCATGAACAGTCATGTCATGTTAGACATAAAAAACTAGATGTTAGACATATAAGGTAGTGAAAACTTGTGAAAATTTGCAATCATGAACAGTCATGTCATGTTAGACATAAAAAACTAGATGTTAGACATATAAGGTAGTGAAAACTTGTGAAAATTTGCAATCATGAACAGTCATGTCATGTTAGACATAAAAAACTAGATGTTAGACATATAAGGTAGTGAAAACTTGTGAAAATTTGCAATCATGAACAGTCATGTCATGTTAGACATAAAAAACTAGATGTTAGACATATAAGGTAGTGAAAACTTGTGAAAATTTGCAATCATGAACAGTCATGTCATGTTAGACATAAAAAACTAGATGTTAGACATATAAGGTAGTGAAAACTTGTGAAAATTTGCAATCATGAACAGTCATGTCATGTTAGACATAAAAAACTAGATGTTAGACATATAAGGTAGTGAAAACTTGAGAAAAATGTGCCTACGAAAATAAAAATGATCAAGCTATTGCACGAACAGTCTCACTCGTGCAAACTTGGAATCATAGACGATAATTTTTTAATCACAGTATACATATCTTCATAAGTGCAAGAGATACAGAAACCCAGAGCAGAAATGATTCTGTTAAATGCATCTCAGAGAGGATCTTAGAGAAATATTGATTTTGAAACACAAACTGGACAAATTATTGCATATTGTCATGTCAGGTACCTTAGGTTCACCTTGTGACGCCAATATGGTTCTAAGAAGATCAAATGGGTATGATCCAACTGTAGCCGCACACCCTGCTAATGCCCCACTGACATAGGAGAGGTAAGGACTCAACTGAATGTGATTCTCTGCATCATAGCAAAGCAAAAGCCAATAAAAAATAAGAAACTTTAAGACAACAGACAAATAGGCTTGAATATCCTCTTCCTTTTTCCATCCAGAGTATGAACTTTTAGAATCTTTAGAAGAGACAACAGGACATAAATTTTACACGGACTGGTCTGATAAACACACGACAAATCAACTCTAGTGACGTTATACTTCTATACAAAGTTCAAAGAAAACCTAATTTTGCATACAGTAGTCAAGATATCACAAAACTCATAAACTACTTATGATCCTTATGTCACCAACATGTATTAGAGAATACTGTGCCATGCCAGAAAAATCGATTTCAAGGAGAGTTGTGGCGAATGAACTCGTCAGTAACACAATATTTAATGTTAATGTTTTGCATTTCCACTTTAGACATTGAACAGAATAAATAAATCAAGGAGAAGGGATTAAAACATCAAAGCCGTTCTTAATTCTTCATAAAATACCTGACTTTGAAGAACCTGCTGCAAAAGTTTTCAATCTGTGTAGAACAGTAAATTGTATAGCTGTGTATGGCATAACCATGAGCAAAGCTGGGACATTGCCACGCCAAAAACCCTACAACAAGGACGGTCTTCGATAAAAGGTAGGAATTACAACAAGTTATTCATATTAAATATTAAACTCTATTGAAGAAACTTCTTAGAATGGTGATATGGTATTAGGATGCATAAAGCATCAGTTAATTATAAGCGCATCAGCATAGTTAACTAGCAGTTAGCATTCTAACATCGTCCGTCAAGTTTTTAACTTGATCTGCCTCTCAAAAGTTGAAATTAGAAGGTTAATTTACTTTGTGGAAATAGAAAGAGGCCTTTTAAATAAATCATCCATCCAAAACATAATAAGCAGAGAGAATGGCATCATACCGGCAGACCTTCCTCCCTAAATATATCCTTTGCTGCTTGCAACATTCCGGTGTACTTTGATGGTCCAGCCATATTTCCGCGAACCAAAGCCCATGAAGATGTGGGCTCCAGTTGAACCTGCAAACAAATGCATTCACCAAATTGTCTTTCAGCATCACCAATAACATGTCTATTCACATTAATATTCTTTTGCTAAGTTAGGCCTGGCTCCATTAAGACCTTAAGTGAATGCACACGATTAGTTTCAGTCTTTCAAACCCAACAAACAAAATACGTTGTAATAGAGAACGCAAAATTGCAAAAAAACATCTAATTTTTTAAACAATGCTGAAACCGTACATACAAAGTATGAATTGCACCTGGCACAACTTTCAGCTCAAAGTAAACATCACTATGCATCACTATGCATCTTCGAGATGCAACTACGGCAACTTATAGAAAACCACTCATTATAACAAACAAAAATAGAATTGAACCATATATATTTGATTTTCGAAAAAAAAAACCTGGAATCTGATCTTAATAACATCAAGAGGCGATGTAACTGTGCGCGAGATAGCACCTGAAAGTGCTCCAGCAGTGGTATCAATTAATGCCCGTTTTATCTGCCCTGGCTCCTCCATTATCAAAGAAAACCTCCCCTTCAGGCAAAGCCGCTCACGCTATAACCTAGATTCCGCCTTTTCAATCAAATAAGACAGTCGGTCGGAACCATTAATTGAATACTCGAGAGAATTAGGGTTTTTTTTTAATAAATTTTGTGAAAATATGAAAGTGTAAACGGAGAGAGATGAAAAGGATAGAACAATTGGAAAGTGATAGAGCTGAGAAGCGAAAAAAAGAGACAGGCCGCCATTGACGAATATTTAAAGGCTTTTTTTTGGCTAGCCGCCCGCGTTATTTAAAGGCTTTTCTCGTCTTCACAGGGAGAGAGATATTTATGGTAGTTGTTAAGAGCAGAGAAAGACGAATGTCTACAACAGAAGAATGAGTCTGGGGTCAATAAGCCATTACCGTATAATAAAGCAGTGCACCTTCAACCCCTTCTTCTCTCCTCTTTTATCTCAAATCTCCATGCACTGCCTGTTGTTGCCGACTCTGGCTCTGCCTCGAGAAAATGAGGAGGGAATCACAGAAAATTTATTTACATAATATTTTTTTTTATAGAAAATTTACATAATTTTTTCTTTGCTAAATTGAATGCCTTTTCTCAAATTTATATTTGATTATATATATGTTTTACTACATATATATAATTTGCACATTTTTTTTTTTACTTTGATAAATTATAAAATATATATTTAAAAATTTCAATTTTATATTAATTGTTTATCTTAATTCTTTACTGAATTATTAAATTAAGTATTTTATTGAATATAAAATTTATATTAAACCAATTGCTTAACCATGTGTATAACTCGTATGCAATGCATTTTAACATATTTTCCATATATGTTTGCTTTTTACAAATAATTATATAATTTATTTAATTAATGTAAAGTTATGATTTAATTATATGAATCTACGAAAGAAAAAAATCATTCAAAAAAAGTACTATTGGATTGTTAATCATCCCAAAATTAATAAATTAATAATCTACGTACATATGTCGAGCAAGGAAGGCGAGTACACATATTGCGCCTACCAAAAGGGTCTGTACTAATTTGCATCACACTATTGATACTACTCTCTGGCTCTCTGCGTTGCACTAGGCTACAGTGCAGTGCACAGTATCACCAATTCACACGCCACCTTGCATTGTTGCAGACACACCAATCCTCTATCCCTCTCTCGCTCTCTCTCTTTAGGGTTTCTGCTTATATCAAAACCCATCAATTTTCGGGTATGAAGTAGAATAATGAAGAAATGGCCGCAGTATAACTTATTTCAACGGTATTAGTTCTCTATTTGAACTAAAAAAAGCTTTGAACTTCGAGTTTTCATTTTTATTTGTGCAACATACACTTATATATAGATACATTCGTTTTGCTTGCGATTTGAGTAGAAAAATACCCTTTTTTAATATTCATATCTCTTACTTGTATATTTGCTACTATTCAGGTGAGGACTCTTCAAAATGTTTACTTGACAAAGATTTTGATAGTGACATTGGCAAGTTGAGGTGGGTTTGGGTGTGTGAGTACAAATATATGAAAATGGGGTTTGAAGATGCTTGTGGTTGTGATGTTGGTATTAAAAATGGATGTATTAGGAAGGGAGATATTGGGGAATCCAGGGTTTGTTCTGACACTGACTCTTGAACAATTGGTTCTGTGGTTGCTACAGGGTATATGGCTTAACAAGTAAGGAATTCGGGGTTCCAAATACTGGAACAACAGTAGGGATAGAAATTGAAAGATATAGTGAAGGAAGTGATTATTTTGATAATGTTGCAAAAAATATAATGGTGTATAAATATGAGTTTGGAGATATGGTCTGGGGGAAGATTAAATCTTACCCATGGTGGCCAGGACAGGTATTTAATGAGATGTTTGCTGTGTCTGATATGCATGAAACAAAGATAGATGGCCATATTTTGGTTGCTTTTTTTGGGGATGGTAGCTATGCGTGGCTTGATCCACAAGATCTTGTCCCTTTTGATACTCATTATGTTGAGAAATCAAAGCAAACAAATGCAAGGGGTTTTGTGAAGGCTGTTGAAGAGGCAGAGCATGAAATCAGTCGGAGAGCTGCAGTTGGTTTGTTGTGTCGATGCAGGAATCCTTCAAGCTTTAGGCAATTGACTGCTAAAGGGTTCCTTACAGTTGATGTTTGTGGGTATAGGCCTGGTGGGTTGTATACAATTAAGCAAGTTAAGAGTGCCAGAGCTGAGTTTCAATCAGTAGAGATGCTGAATTTTACAAAGCAATTGGGATTAATGCCATTTAAGAACTTCCAAAGAAATGTTCACTGGATTAAGAATGTGGCTAAAGTTCTTGCTTTTCTGAGAGTGGTATTTGAGGATTATGACGTTACATATATTGAGGCATTTGGAGCTCAACCATCATGCCCTTTCAACTCGAAGTTGGTTAAAGTACCATCCAAATTTGAGGGTTCTGAGGAGACAAATATTGGGGCTTTGAAAGTCCATCATGCTTCCCCCGTGGATTCCAGATTTCTTTTTTGGCAGGATAAAGAAGGTATAATGGCATTTGAACTTCAAATACTAAATGTGTTGATGGTCTTGCATCACATTTCAAATAAAAGCAGGCAAAAAGGTTCACTATTTTACAGTAGCTACACCTAGGTTCTTTTTTGTTTTGGAGCTACATGTAAATGTTGATTTTTCTTTTTCTTTTTTGAAATTATAGTTCTATGATCAACCGTACCTCTATAGCAAGATCAGTTCTGTCAAACCTGAGTAGTCCTTGATAAACCTAGTCATATGCATGCACTGAGTAGCTGTTTGATCAGGAATAAAGGCTTAGCATCCATAAGAACTGAGTTTTCAATTGAATCGCATGTTGACTTTATTTTGATTCTTATTAAGCGAATTGTATGCATTTGCACCCTCTTGTTTTGGTTGTTTAAGCTTCATTTCCTTGTACCTTTTGCAGCTTCCTTAAAGGAATCAGTTGATATCAATACATCAGTTTGTAGAAGCAAAATGCGTGTAGGGCATGCAATGGTCAAGGACCAGCAGAAGGGACAAAAGGATCTGTATAAGGAAAAAGGTAAGGTGGATGTTTTAAGAGCCAGTTACAGCAGTCAGAGGCAACAAGGATTTTTAAGTTCATCAGTTAAGAAATCATCTATTCGAGGTGGAAATCTTGTCTTACAAAAGATAGATGCACTTCTTCCTGAGAAAACAGAGTTTCTGTGCCAAAGAGAAAGAAATTTCAATTTCGGCTGTGTGAAAAAGAGATCAATGCTTAAGGGAAGTGGCCTAGTTGATGCTAGAACTGACTATGACCTAAATTGTGCCAATCTAGTTAACAGATCACAAAATCTTGAACAGAATCAGTCAAGATTATCAAATTACCTTGGAACGCAACACGTGCAAGTAGATGGCGGAACAGCAACTCATTCAAATTCCAGACTTTGGAGAGAAGTTCTTGTAACTGGTAGTGATGCTGTAGATAAAAGGCAAAAAGAACTTAGACGAACCCATGAGTATTTGACTACTGAAAAAGTAGTTGTGGCAAATAAAATTAGAAAGACAAAGCAAGAATCCAAGTTAGAATCAGAAATGGAGCATCTACATGAACACCTTGAAATCACACACAATGAAGCATTATGTAGACCAGAAATTTGTGCAAATATTAGGTGGGAAGTTTCTCAATCTGATGCAGAAAAGATTTCTTTTGAGGAATTGAAAAATCTGAGTGAGCTGATGTCACTGTCGACAAAGAAGAAGATCAGGAAGGAGAAGTCTTTGAAATCTCAAGGGACAAATGCAAAAGATATAGATGTGACAATGGGAGAAAAGCCAACTAAAAGCTCACTTGAGAAGCCTGAAACTTTGAAAAGGGTAGCAAAACCTTCAGTGCTACTGATTCAATTTCCTCCCCAGTCAATATTACCTTCAGTTTCAGAGCTGAAAGCTAGATTTGCACGTTTCGGACCTTTCGAGCACCCTCCTCGTGTGTTTTGGAAATCCTCAACATGCCGTGTTATATTCAAATATGAATCTGATGCTCAAGTAGCACGAAGATATGCAGTTCAAAAAGCATCCCTTTTTGGAGACGTAAAAGTACTCTATGATGTGGAAGTCCTGCAAGTACCAGCCCCAGCGTTACCTAAATCAAGCAAGCAGTCTTTAGAGGCAACTTCCAGCAAGATTCCACAATTGACATCTATAAGCACTAGCTACTCTACTGAATCAAGGAGTACTGCTCCTGGGAAGCAGCATCTTCCAGCAGTCCATTCAAAATCATGTCTAAAGAACGCACAGGCAGATGAAGAATTTTTTACCAAGGGTGTTGGGGGCAATCTGCATGTAAATTTTATGTGTAGTGGGGATGGGAATCACGGGGATGAGCAACCAGCAGTCAATAGAGTTGTCCAAAGTGATTATCATCCAAATATTACCTCTTCATCTTCCCAAGGAACCCATGATGATAATGAAAATAACTTGAAGAAGGTTGTACTTCCTTTACCTCCTTGGCTTCCACACTCTTATTGGATTTCAAATCTTGATCTGCAAATTTGTTGAAGCTTGTAATGAGAGGCATCTTCAAGATAAGGAAAAGAACAATCAAAAGCAGCTTACCAAGCAGAACGTTGATGTCTCTAGTGCCATCTTAGACCTTCTCATAAGGTGAGACAACGTTCTTGCTTCTTGCTGATTTGAAGAGTTTGTCAGTGTATGTGCCATACCATCTCTGATGAACACTACTGCTATGATGGGACTGCGCCCACCCCCATCCAACTCATCCAACCACTAGTATGATATTGTCCGCTTTGGGCCAAGCCTTCACGGATTTGTTTTCGGGTACCTTTCAAAAAGCCTCATACTAATGGGTTGGGTTTGAACCATTATATCTCTTCTCCTTTTTATTCGATGTGGGACTTGGGAGGATATCCCAACATGCTATAGTATACAGAAATGATGAATACGATGCACACTTAGGAAAAGAATGACCTTTTTTGTTTTGAAACTTCACTTTAGAGAGCTTCTTAAATTGAGGAGATGAACATACCATAGAAGGATACAGATAGTTGGTATACAGATGCATCACTGTTTCTCAAATTTAGTTGTGGACAGTTCTTCTCATTTCTCCATTATACTGTGTCCACATACCATATGAAAATTTTATGCAAAATGCTTCACTATGAAACTATTTGACTTTGTCCTGGTTTTGCCTATGTGGAGATTTTCATATTATCTTGTTCTGTGGAATTTCATATGCAATTGTGGAAAACACAAAAGAATAAGTTATTGAATATTAGAACTTTCTTTTTATTTGAATATGAGCCTGGTCAATGTGGAAATGGAATAAACTCGGAATCATTTTTTCTTTCAAAAAGAAAAAAAAAAAAGAAAAAAGAAAATAAGAATCGGAAGAATGAAATCTCCTCTCCGAGGTGACATTAGAAGCCCATTAATTAGTGCTATTAATTCGATAATGACAATTTTGTCCCAAAAGTCACGGCCAATGGCATGACGGTTGACGCAAGTTTTGTAAACTGTTCATTTATTAAACACCCAATTGCGTAGAAAAAGTTTGCAAGACTCTTCAACAACTTACTCCCTCCCTCCCTCCCTCTTCTTCTCCGTCTCGCATACCTAACATGGAGCAAAGAACTCTAGAGATCAATTTGATCTCCGCTAAAGATCTCAAAGATGTCAACCTCTTCTCCAAAATGGACGTCTACGCTGTTGTTTCAATCTCAGGCGACTCACAACAACCCAAACAAAAGATCAAAACCCCTGTTGATCACGACGGCGGCACCAACCCTACTTGGAATTTCCCTGCCAAATTCACAATCTTGGAGGCACCAGCTCAGCAAAACCGCCTAATCCTTGTGATCAATCTCCGGTGTGAGCGTGCCCTTGGTGATAAAGATATTGGTGAAGTCAACGTCCCAATCAAGGAGTTATTGGAAACCATGGGAGATGGAAAATCTATGCAATTTGTTAGTTATCAGGTCAGGAAGCCATCAGGAAAGCCTAAAGGTCAGTTAAATTTTTCTTATAAGTTTAGTGAGAAGGCTATTGTCTCAGGACCTGAAAAAGTGAGCGAAAAGGCCAACCAACCAGTCACTGCATATCCTGCTCCGCCGCCTGCTGGGATTGGCTCTAGTTCAGCACCTTATGGTGCTCCTGGGCCTTATCCACCTCCACCACCAAGCGATCCAGTCCCACCAATGGCAAATTATAGTTACCCACCACCTGCATATGCTGGATATCCACCACCACCTGCATATGCTGGATATCCACCGCCGCTGCCACAGCCATATGCTGGATACCCACAACAAGCTCATCCGCCAGGACATGGATACCCGCCGCCGCCTCCACCCGCAGGTTATGGGTATCCACCGGTTCAGGCTGGATATGGATATCAACCAGTGCAACAACCGGCAAAGAAGAACAAATTTGGAATGGGATTGGGAGCTGGCTTGTTAGGAGGAGCAATTGGTGGGCTTTTGATCGGAGATATGGTGTCTGATGCTGCATCTTATGATGCTGGGTATGATGCAGGATTTGATGATGCCGGTGGATTTTGATTCTCTCAATTTTTTCTTCTTGTTAATGTTTTTGTCAGACTTATCTTATGGGATGTTAATGGTTGGTGTAGAATAAATGATGGATTTTGTCTTTTAAGAATCTGGATATTTTCTCCTTAATGATCTCATCTCAGTCTTAATTAATCTAAGACGCTGCACTTTTCTGATTACTTCCCCTTCTTTATTGCGTACACGACAGAGGCGAATCTTCCAAAGTGGATACCACTTTTTGAGTTCAGAATTAGAATATTCTCTTCAAAGTTTCTATGTGATGCTACTTTATTACCAAGAAAATAAAAGAAAGGCTCGTTCTAGAAAAACTTGCACCATTCACCGGCGGACAAAAGACAAACAGGAAATAACAATTCCGGCAAGAATAGCAGATGGAACAAGCTGTCTATTTCTTGTTCAACTACATCAAGCAAATTATTCAAGACTTGAGCTTTTCTTTATTTACACCGTAACATGACCGAGCCATGGCAATCAAGATAATTGATTTGATTTAATTATATAAAATAATTGATTTGATTCTATTAATGTTTCAAAAAATCAAAAACAAATTATATATTTTGATCGGTTCAATTCGATTTTCATCCAACCAACCATTTGCACTCTCTCCTACCGTCCTACTCGAGGGACTATCATTACGAGTTAAGGAATCCCATCGCTGAAGGACAACAATAGGACACGCGGGTGAGACCGTTTATATTTCACGGTAGTCCAACGACGGGCGGCCCGGTTTGCCAATGGTTTGGACATGCCAACGGGCTCACACAAGTAAGTTAGACGATTAAAATCTGGGCTTAGTTCTTTAAAAGCCCACTCCAAATAAGCTTTCCCTGTTTCAAAAATAGGGTTTTGATCCCCAAAACCCTAAAATGCAAAGCTGACAAATTTCGTTGCTTCGTTTTAATTAACTCCTTTCCTCTAATTTGTCATTGATTTTTCCTCCAATCGTCCCTTCAAAGAATCAAGATGAGGCCTTTGGACGAGACTGAAACGGAGGCTGTTTTCAAGAAGCTACACAATTTCACTGGCAACAATCTCAAGAACATCGTCGAGAACCCTTCCCATGAAGGACCTGACCCGAATCCTGGTCGCTACTGCTTCAGGCTCCAGAAGAACAAGGTATACTATGTCAGTGAGTCTTTAGTGAAGAGAGCTACGAACATTAGCCGTAAGAATTTGGCCTCTCTGGGTACTTGCATAGGCAAATTCACGCATGGAGGTAGCTTTCACTTGACGATTCAGGCCTTGAATCTATTGGCTGCCAATGCTAAACACAAAGTTTGGCTGAAACCCACATCCGAGATGTCGTTTTTGTATGGAAATCATGTACTGAAAGGTGGATTGGGGAGGATTACTGACAGTATTTCGAAAAATGACGGGGTTGTGGTATTCTCTATGTCTGATGTGCCGTTAGGGTTTGGTACTGCAGCAAGATCGACCCAGGATTGCAGGAAATTGGATCCTAATGGAATAGTGGTGCATCACCAATCTGATATTGGTGAGTATTTGAGGATGGAGGATGAGCTTTAAGAGAATTGAGTGTCTTTAGGTGGTTTTAGGAGGGTCTTCGAATATGGGTTGGTGTTTGGTTGTAGAGACATGCTAGTTGAATTAAGTGTGTCTCGTCTAATTTTGAATGTAATATGAGGTTGTTGTTATGATTTTGTTTGGAAATTTGATGAAATGGCTTTCTTACTTGCCTTTTTCTGTTATTCAATTTTGTGTTTATATTAGTTTCACTTGTAGCCATTCTCTTATGTTCTTCAATTGTTTGTTTCAAATTAGAAGTTGTTTTCCTTATATAATACATGCTTGAATGATTTAATTGTTATTGGTTCGAAAGCTGATTGGATATCTATTTATTTGTTAACTTTACTTTTGCATAATTAACATGATGAACATGTTAGTTTCTATCTTTTTTTTGTTGTATTTCTTAGTCTCTGTTTTTACCTGTGCGGCTATGCAACTGTAATCCTTGGTTCAAGGAAGCATGTTCCTTCTGTATGCACTCTTTTTGGATCCTTCTGAGTGGTTTGAAATGGTAGCTCAGTTCCATGCTTCTTTATATTATATTGTTTCTGGAATAAAAGTTCTCATTCTAAGAATTATAGTTTATGTAACCCCCCTTGCTGCAAAAGTTCTTGTCTTGATTTCTTGTGCTTTCTGCTTGAATTTCATCATTATGTATATTAACCTACTAACTGGTTTTCTTACTAAAATACTGCTATATTATTTAATTTCTTGTATTCTTTTCATGAATTACACTTTTTCTTGTTACGATAATCGTCATCTGCACCCTATCTGTTTCCTAGCATCTTTATACTAGCACCTTCTTTCGATCATTGCTACAAGAGAAATAACATGAAATTTTGTTTGAATTCAAATGTTTCTCACATTTAGTAGCTATTCACATTAATGAATAAGAACAAATGATTAGTTATATGTAGAAACTGTTATGTTATTTGGCCGTACAAGTCTAAGATTGAAAGCCCCATGGTGTCGTAGAGCAGTAGGAAAATTATGATAGTGAGCTCATATTGGTGCAGGATTCTTTTTGTTTATATGCTTATCTTCAATGTGTTAAAAGTTAGTTAATAGTATGGTAAGGGTGATCTGTTTTTAATGAAATTGTATGCACAATGTAAAATTGGTGGCTCAAATGGTCGGCGCTTTTCTTTTAGAAATATTTATTTAGGGAGGCCATGGATGCAATGTTCAATAACAGGGATCCTCGAGACTTCCATTGTTGGTTTTATGGTAAAACAGGTGAATAGTATAACGGGCCGTATAATGTCGATCTCAATTAAGGTATAATGGGCCGTATATTGGTGCAATGTCGATCTCAATTAAGGTGTAATGGGCCGTGTAGTATTACTGTAATGGGCCGTGTAGTAGTTGGGCTTTGTTTGTTAAAGTAGGCCTTTTAATCTGAAAATCCGTGAAATCGAACCCCGATCAGTACCGCGAGAGGGTACTATGATACCACTACAGCCGATGCGCTAATACGAACAAGCTGTGAAATGTTTATAAAAACGATAAAAACACAAGGGTTGCCATGGCATTCTGTTCAAGTAATACAAAGTATCAAAGAAGGATGAAAAAAAAGGCATAAAAAATAATAATAATAATAATAAAATAAAGATCAGGAATCAACGGTTCTAAATGGATGATTTATGGTGTAGTGGCATTTTAGTTAAGATTTTGGGATAAAGTTATCCAAGTATTACGTTAACCAATTCACATCTAAAAATGATTGAAGGATTGTAAACTCAATTAATTAAGTATATAAATGCATGATTAGAAAAAATTAATGAAGTCATTTTCAAGGAATCATAGAACGTGAACAGGAATTAAAACTTCATTTGCTGTTATTAAGAAGGAATTGATCCTTCATTCCAAATGTTTTAGCACTTTATTCTTTGTATAAGTGTATATGGCCTCATTCCATCTCTCAGTTAGGCATAAACTTAATGCTAGATAAGAATTAAAATCATTCTAATTTTAGCTTTAATTTTATTCCCTACGTACCCAATTGATCTCTCTTCCTCTTCAATAATTAATTAGTATACCATTAAGGAAAAAAAAATAATTAATAAAACAAATGTCATTCCAACTTTTAATGAACCAAATTAGTTTTTTTATTACAATATTTTAAACCGATATTGGTGGAGATCGAATAAGTTCATGTACAATTAGAGACGACATAGGGCCATACGTAATTAATTTAGTTTAAAGATACTCAATTTTAGATTAAGATGGATAATTTTCTTGAAACCCACTTTGAGAAAGAATTTTTCTTCTTTCATTTGCATATAAGTATAATTATTAAGTGTGTCATTGCATTCTTTGGGCCTACTGGCATCCAGTTCCCTCCTAATATAAAAATAAAGAATCCACCAATTATCAACGGGATTTAGTCTAAGTAGAATGAACTATTCCCTGCTCGGAACGCTTTCTCTTTAAAAATCTGACGCGATGCAAGTAGGATTATATTTGACACTTGTAAGGAAAAAAAAAAAAAAAAAAAAACCAATCCTGACAGCGATGCAAGTAGGATTATATTTTGACACTTGTAAGGCAAAAAAATAAAAAAAAAAAACCTATGAATTAAGAAATGTACGGTCAGACATATCTATCTTTTATCTAATATCACTTGTATATTTTATATGGGCAAGAGTTCTAAATTCTCCCAAAAAAAAAAAAAAAAAAAAAAAAACCTATGATTAAGAAATGTACGGTCAAGAATATCTATCTTTTATCTAATATCATTGTATATTTATATGGGCAAGAGTCTAAATTCTCAACCTTGGATTATTCTTATACTCCATTTATATATTTTGTATGCAACGCACTCACTCTCTTGCGTTTTGAATATGTATGGAGAAAAGTTAGGTTAAAGATGTTTATTAATACATTAACGTAGTCTTTTCATGTCTAAAAACGTTTTTTTTTTAATGTAATTAATCTAACTTAATTAATGATTAGCCGCCCATATTCTCAAACAAGTATTCTTCTTGTCCTTATAAATGAGAGAGAATAGCTTCATTTTACTCGAATATGTATAGGTTTAATTTTATGTATTAATTAATTAATTATCCTTGACATAATATCTTTGATATTCACCTTAATAAATTACATGATTCTTTATTTTAAAAAAATATAATAAAACGTGACTAATTATTAATTATAGGTGTATATAAATAAAACCCTAACTAGCTTTAATCAGCGGTGATTAGATCAATAAAAATAGATTATATCATAAAGTGAATTTTACCAATAATATCAAAGATTTCAAAATCTAATATCGCTATTATTTTACCTGAATACTATCCTGATACGAGTATAAAAACACGCGTGCAAACAAAAATGAAAATCCTGATTAGCTATATATAGATATACAAGTAGAAATTTACCATTGGAAAAGGAAAGAAAACAATGTGCTTTAGTGATTAAGATGGATCGGTTCTTTTTTCTTCAAAAAAGAAGAGGTTAAGAAAGAAAAGCATATAAACTTAAAATGAATGGACGTGAAACGATGTGTAGTATGTCTTGCCTGGTTAAATGTAGAAGTTCAAAATTACTTTTTGTTGGTCTGAATTTCCAAGGGACATGAGGCAATCACATGGGCATGTAGTTGAAGAATGTGTGTAATAATATTGTTGTGGAGCCTAGAATAATTCTAACCTATGTTTTTTGAAGCATATGAATATTTATGTTTGTGTGTAAGAGGTTAGAGTCTATTTGGATTGGGGACTACAAAAGAAGAAAAATAGAAAGCTGATTTGGCATGTCGTATAACCTCAAAGAAGATTTGTGGGATATAAAGAATCATCGCTATCCCAGGAGGACATAAACTATGAGGTGGAAAATTTTTCTGTTTGCCACCTCATGCATATATATACGTAAATAACTATCTACATCAACTGCTTATAAGGAAAAGAAAAACCTATGTACGTCATGTAAGTTCCAACAATTCCAATATATATTCCTTCCGTGGGTAACCAATATTTTACATAAGCATAGAAATATATAGAAGCTTCTTTTCAAGAAAGAAGATATATATGATTACAAAAATATTATTAATATATAATATACTTAATTGAATTGGCTCGAATAGTAAGGTACTCTTGAACAATAATCTCTCAAAGATTCAATCTAGAAAAAATTGACAATTACGAATAATCTCGTGTCTAAAAAATATAAGAAAAGTTTATTTTGTTTTGAACTTCTACTGAAAATTTGTATTAAATCTGAATATTGTAAATCATAATATATCATAATAGTCAATTTAGTCATTATCATGAGACATTCGTTTCAAACATCTTTAGAAGAAACTAGCTACCATTTTGTATATAGGAACATATTCTTTAATCCGTTGTTTGGAATAATTAAATTTCACAAAATTTTGTAGAATTTATTTATAAATTTAAAATTTTGTGTTTAGTATGAAAAAACTGAAGAATTAAATTCTTATTCTATGGATTTGGATATAACTAAATTAAATTCTAAAAAAAAAAAATGTGAAATTTCTAAATGAACTCCACAAATTTAAACAGATGAAAATTTGATCGGTCTAGTCTTTTAAAAATTATTATGCCAAGAGTATTTTAAAAAATAAAAATAAATAAATTTATTCCAAACATAGAAAAGAATTTATTTATAAATGAATTTCATATTTTGAATTCATTTATACCAATTAGAGCGTAAAGTCAAACAGCTGTGCAATTTTTCCTAAAAAAATTAATTTCATTTTCAAGTAAAGCAGAATATGCAATGAAAGATCTCGAGAAAAAGATGGAAAAACAGAAAGCCAGTAAATGGTCCAGTAATAAAAAAGATCGAAAGGAATAAACAGTGAAGAAGACATAAAATAATTTAACCAATGGAGCAGAAAGCTTGTAAGAAAGAAAAGAATTAGGGTAGAAGTGTTGGGTTTGATGAGGAGAAGTCTTCTTCGCGAGGACCATGCGCATTACAAGATTAGGGCACAATGGGTTCTTGATAAAGATAGAATGTGCCCTAAAGCCCTACACTAAATGCATCAACTTTGATTCGGCTGGTAAAATTGGGTGCCAGAATCTTATAGTAGCTTTTTCGGCATTTCAAGTAGTTGTTGTTTGCTCCTCCATCGACATTTCCTATTCTTCTGCTTTTTTCTAGATATTTTCATTTCACAAATTTGCAAAACACACAAGGATATAGCTGATTAATCTCTCTTTAAGCTAAAATTATTTTTTGATGTTGTCAATGATCTTTCTGGGTGATCTACGACGATGTAATCAATAAGAAAATTGAGAAAGATTGATGCTTAGGTTAGAGAAAATTACAGAAAAAGTTAAAAATGATTAAAGTTTAAGATTTATATATGTGTTATATAGAGTGAACGAAAAGTTTTTTTATTATCATATGTGTTTTAAAATTGTTCGACATAAGATTTTTTATATTGAATCATTTATAATGTAATTATAGATCATTTGGTTTAAAGTAATTTATAACTTTAATCTATATTCGAGTTTATCGATGCAATTGTATAAAGTTGTATGTATCATAATTATATAACCCTAGATTGAAAACTAAAAGTTGAAGCAAGAGAAGTAAATAGTCAACAGTAGTTAGGCAGACTTAAACCCTTGTTAATTAGGGTTAGGCGGCCACCCTGCAAAAAGGAAACTGACATTTCCAACAAACCAGAATTTAAGAATCCTCTTCCAATTATTATTTTTAATTATTTTATTTTTGGTCCCACCCCACACCCCTTCATCGTTATTGGTTTCTCTTTCTCATTCACAAATTTTGGAAAAGACACCAATATTATGCGTTCCCATAAGCATCCTTCTTTCTACTTATGGAACTTTTATTCGTATATATTGACCATTCAAATTCCATTTAATCAATTTCATTATCTTAAATATTAGGTAGACTGAAGAATAAGATAAAGGAATTAACCCTTTCAAAAGCTTTTTTTTCTTTTTTCCATATCCAAAATTAATATATATATTCCATTCCTTGTGATTAACCTAAGCAAGAAAGCAAAAGCATCTCAAAATTACATCACTTTATATGATAACCATCAAACATTTATACAGATTGATGATACCCTTCTTCCTTGCTTCCAGATTTATATATTTATATATATTCAGAACAAAACAAAGATTCCCATAGTGGAGGGTTATTTAAGACTAGGATAAAGAAAACAAAGGATTCTCCTCAATCCGATTATGCCACATTGGAATTGGAATGATGGTAACATGTGTCCCAAACAATCCTGACCTTGCCAAATTAATTTCCTTTTTACTAAAAAATAAAATTATTAACTAATAATATATATTTTTGCATCTCAAGATTGGGTCCCACCTAAGCAACGCCCACACCCAAACATCCTTTATATCCATCATTACACACGACTCTTCTCCCTCTTCTCTTCTATATAAATACCCAACAATCAATGCAATCTCCATGACCAACTCCAACTCCAAATTAATCTTCTTTGTATTGCAATATAATCTTAAAGAAAGGAAAATGTCCGGTGTTTGGGTTTTCAAGAACGGTGTCGTGCGGTTGGTGGAGAACCCAGGAGCAGAGTCTCTTGATGGAAGCAGGCAAGGATCTAGCAGTCGCCGGAAAGTTCTGGTTCACACTCCTAGTAATGAAATAATAACTTCTTATTCCGTTTTGGAACACAAATTATCTTCTCTTGGATGGGAAAGGTATTATGATGATCCTGACCTTCTTCAATTCCATAAAAGATCCACAGTTCATCTTATTTCTCTCCCTAAAGATTTCAGCAAGTTCAAGTCCATGCACATGTACGATATTGTCGTCAAGAATCGTAACATGTTCGAAGTCAGGGATATGTAGCTAATATAATAGTGCTTTGCTGTTGTGTCTGTTATATAATATAATAATTCTGTGTGTCTAATTGATCTTGAGTTTGTCTGTACTATAGAGTGAGATGATTGCATATCCTTCTCATAAGTAATGTTATTTGTTTTTTTTTTTTTTAGGATTTTGGGATATGGGTTTGATTGATTACATGTGCCAAGTCCTGTGTGTATTAGGTTAGGGATAGTTAATAATGTAGTTAAGGGTTTGCTTTCATTATGAGCACGTAGTTGGTGACAAGGTATCACAGTCATGTAAATTGTTTGTGGGAATGAAAATTCGTCTTCTTTTGTGTGTTTTCCTTCGTTTGACACCTTTTTTTTATATATTATCTCTCGATCGGGCTCTTCAGAGTGTTGATACACGCAGCGTTTTCTCTGTTTTTACTGGCAAAACCCATATGAAAATGCAATTCTTTTTGAATGGTAGTTTTAGGGTTAAATATTTGACATGTTGGAACGAAAAATAAGGGTGTGGGTATTGCATTTGGCATGAATTGATATTATAGTATTATGGCTGTTGATATTATAGATATGAAAGTAGAGAAAGAAGCAAAAGATTTTTTGTTTTGTTTTTTTTTTTTTTTTTTTTGCAGCGTTTTTCTGTTTTCTGGCAAACCCCATATGAAATGCAATTCTTTTCTTTTTGATGGTAGTTTTAGGGTTAAATATTTGACATGTTTGGGAAACGAAAAATAAAGGGTGTGGGTATTGCATTTGGCATGAATTGATATTCATAAGTATTATGGCTGTTTGAATATTTATAGATATGAAAGTAAAGAAAGAAGCAAAAGATTTTTTTTGTTTTGTTTTTTTTTTTTTTTTTTTTTTTATTGGAAGAGGAAAAGGGATTGGTCACGTGAAGAGCCACAATTTGCTTTTGCTTTTTTTTTTTTTTTTTTTTTTTTTTTATTGGGAGAGGAAAAGGGATTGGTCACGTGAAGCCAACAATTTGCTTTGCTTACCAACAAGGTGGTGATGCCATGTCTTTATGAGCAAGTGGACAATACTATCCAATTTGCATGGAGAGCCTCTCTCATCTCTGGCCTCACTCACCATTTTTACTCGATCTTGTAAAAACAATCGCAATTATACATTTATATAAAAAAGACTGTAAATTTATTGGTTATAATGAGAAAAACATGTGATGTTTTGCTTGAAGTAGCAAGTTTTTAACCTGGGATTAAAATTTTACCTGAAAAAGAAGTTTTTTTCCTGGAAATAGAAAAGGACAGTTTACATGGCTGAAATGAAGGGATAGGTCATATATATGTCTGCCCATTCCCCCAAAAGGAAGGAGATTTTATCATAATTCGTAAGGTCAAGGGTCCATCTCTGGACCACCACTTTGCTGGAAAATCTGATCCGATGGATCAAAATACATATATAATATAATCCTACTGGCTGCCACCAAATATTGTAAGTTTGTAATTATATGTAATGTAAAATTTCAATAAGTGTTCAATAGCGAGCTTGCAATTTTATGAGAACAAAGTTAGGTAAGTATTTTCCATAAAGTTGCTAAAGAGATACCATAATCCAAACAAAGTACAGTGATTTTCAGAGTTCTTTTTCCTTTTTTTTATAAAAGAAAATGATGGACCATCAATAGTGTATCTTAGGTCTACCGTTTATTTATTTAATTCTGAAAATTAATGATGGTATTAGCTGGGAGGCCAGGCCAGTGGCTCTGCTCCAAAATCACAGTGACAGTACCCGGCGGTGGACCTTCGCTCTTTCCTTTGGTGATTACTGATCAGGGCCTCCTTTCTCCGTCTCCTTCATCATACATTTGCCTGCCGCGCGGAAGCCTTCTTAATATTTGACCGTTGGCCGAGCTGAGCCATAAAGCCAACAACTGTTCTATCATAGAAATGGATAATCACTATATCGTCTCAAGAAGCTGACAGAATTCTCCTCTCTTTTACATTTTTTTTTTTTAATCGAAGAGGAGATAGAATTCAAAAGGAATTTGGATGAGCGAAATGTCATATCCAATTTATTATTTTGCCAACTATGCACCAACTATATATATCTGATAATTATACTGGACAAAATACAGCAGAGCTACCCACTCTGCATTCTGTCATCACTCTTTTACTTGACTTTGTTTTCTTTTTATTTTGGAAAACAAAAATCTAGTGGACGCAAATATTTCCAAATGACTTTTGTTTTCTTTTTATTTTGGAAACAAAAAATCTAAGTGGACGCAAATATTTCCAAATAGATTGAATCAAAGCAACAACCCTGCATGAAACCAAACCTTTGCCAAGCCATGCACACGAACCACTCCAAACAACCATGTGCTTCAAAATAAAAACAAAACTTACAAACCTTATTTATTACTTGTTATTATCTATACTGGACAAAATACAGCAGAGCTACCCACTCTGCATTCTGTCATCACTCTTTTACTTGACTTTGTTTTCTTTTTATTTTGGAAAACAAAAATCTAGTGGACGCAAATATTTCCAAATAGATTGAATCAGCAACAACCATGCATGAAAACCAACCTTTTTGCCAAGCCATGCACACGAACCACTCCAAACAACATGTGCTTCAAAATAAAACCTTACAAACCTTATTTTATTACTTGTTATTATCTTCCTTTTGTTTTAGCAATATGTGGTAATTGTTAGGTTTTCCTTTTTTTAAGTACGAAAATAATATCATTTGGGATTCGTGGCTCATAAATGTCTTTCTGCGGATTGATTCGTTAACCTTAAAGAGAACGCGCTCTCATTTGAGCTGCTTCTTATATATATATTTTTTTGTTAATAAAAGGAAGTAAATATAACTCTTTCAAGTTAACCCTAATCTTTTTTTAAGTGCAAAAGGTACTATATCGTCCAGCCATTACTGTCTTGTTTGGATAAGGCTCTTGTATATGAACACGTGTCTAAAAGAGAAGGAATTGAAACCCACCACAGCAGTAGCTGAAGTTATTACTTGTTAGTTGTTACACGCCATAGTCATTGAAACCCATTCCTTGTTTGAATGGGTTGCAATGCACTTTTTCAGTGTCTAGTCAGTTTCTGCAATTGCTTTGCTTCTTCTTTTCTTTAGAGAGGAAGAAGTCGAAATGAGTTTCAAACAAGAGGAAAGTTTGCTATATTTATCCAATCCATAATGCGTCCAAAGAAAAGAAGAGAAGATCCTATCCAATCCAAGGATGGGGCAAGAGAGATCCTATTTTGTCTTCTTATGAGTTTGATTTTGATGGCCAGACTCTTTGTCTTTTCAACTGCATTGCATTACATACAATCTTTTTTTAGGTCTAAATTATTTCCTTTCTTTCCTTTTTCTTTTTGTTTTTCTATTTTAATAAGCTCTTGACAAGACAATGCACGTATAAGCAAACAAACATATATATAGTATTTTTTTCCTTTTTTTTTTTTTTCCATTCAAACACGTATTTTTGTGTTCTAATATAAAATGATATTAGGATAAAACTTTCTAACAAGAACAGTGAAAGGGATGTTTTAAAAAATTGTTCAATGAATGAAAGAAGGTAAAACAATTAAATGCGGGATGTTCGGCGTATCATGACTTTGTGGTGCTTCTAAATAAATAAACAAGAAAAATTAGGTGTAGGCCTATACCTAGTTGAAACTAAGCTAACCTAGTTTTCATAATGAACTTATAAAACCTAGTGATGTCTTGGAACTTGAAGCTCAAGCTTAAAGAAATGATGCCACATGTGATATTTACCTAAAGCTTTTGCAAACGGCGAAAGACTCTAAATTTCAAATCTTTAATGTTAAAGATCAAGTTCACATAAAAAAAATTACTTATAATATTGTCTGGTTTGCTTTTTCTCTTTATAAAGCAAAAATATATATATAAATATCAAAAGACGTCTAAAATTGTCTCTTAGTTAAAAACAATTGTCTCCGATTTATAATAGGAATAATAAGTCATTGTTACGGGCTATTCTGATCTTCCATTGCAGATTTGGGCCGAGGGTGAACTGATTTATGGTGGACTGGGCCGTCTCGGTGCGGGTACATATTTGACCACTGCCCCGTTTCTGCTTGTCATGCCCAACAAAATAAATTACATATGAGCATTTGGCCAACCTTTTTGCGGCATTGCCTTTTAGGCTTTTTTTATATTAGTACGTCTCCTCTGATCATAATTTAGAGAAACTGGAAAGTAATAAATGATTGCTTCATGTGAAAAATGTTTTATCAAATTTTATTTCTATATGAAATTAAAAAAAAAAAGTGTACTGTAATTTTTGACACAGATGGTACAACACATGATACAGCTTTCTTCCTCGCCTTCTGATGACAGCTCTCAAATTTCCCAGGCAAGAAACAATCCCGACAAACCAAAACTCCCCTGTCGAGTGCAAACTGTTGACAAGCTCTTTGTTGTAGTATATGACTGCAATTGAGTTCTCTCTCTCTCTCTCTCTCTCTCTCTCTATTTATATATATGTGCTGAAGTATTACTAGTTGGTGCAATCAAATCCATGGCAAATGGACAGCCAGATTATAAGAACTAGAAGCAATAAGATTCCAAGAACCACCAATTTAATCTTCATGTTCTGATACCACATTTTCCTTCGGAGTTGTGTCCCCTGTTTCTTATATGCTTGGGCCTGAATTTCGCAACAAAAAATTATTACAAATTAAAAATTAAAAAACAGTAAAGACCAAGCATCAGAGTTTAAGTGATTGAAGAATTTATTCTGCATAGAAAAATATGTTAATTGACCTGATCACGTAAATTCTCAGTCTTGTCAGCCAAATTCGTTATGGTCTCGCCTCTATCGATAACCTGAAAGATGAAAATGGGGTCAACAGAGCTTGAAACGCAAGATTGACATTTACCTATAAAACAAAGTAGGCACTTATCTAAATTCTTAAAAAAACATGGAAAATAGCATGAATTCCAACTTGCTTTCTCTGCCCCTTTTAAGACAACTCTTTCTCAAACAATTTCAGAATTTAAGTTATCATCATCAGCACGTGGTATGACAAACATCTTTTAGAAGATTAGCCCAAAAGAATGAAACCTTGGACCTTAATTTGATGCATTGATAAAAACATGGGCATCAGAATTTGCCTTTTATGTCTCGAATATAACTTTCAACAGTTATCCCCAACTGACTTTTAGTTTCCAAGCCCATATTTTTAATGTTCATACTTCATAGGGAGTCATAAAAAATATGCACTGAAAGAAAAATCAACCTACTAGCTAAACTGGACTGGTCATGTGTGTTTTTCAGAACAGTTCACTTACCTTGTCAATATTCCCTAACATTATACTTTTAACTTCTGAAACTTGAGCTTTCACTTTTAATAGTTTCTCAATTTCTTCAGCATGATCGATAATATATTTCATGTGCTCTTTCATAATTGGCCTGAAAAAGGAAATCATGCTACCACCTTACTTTCTGATACAAAAATTGTAATCAAAATACTTTATAATTCTTTATGGACATTTTTTTACATTTCCTTGTCTTATTTTTTCACTTCTTTTTTTTTTTTTTAAAGATTTTTTGAACGCAACAATTGATTGACTTCCATAGATTCACATACCCAAACTCCTTGTTGAGGCTCTTGGCAACGGCTGTATCTGCTTTACCACCCCCATATCTTTTCTTGAAGTCTGCTTTCATGCGTTCCAAAAAAGCAATGGAGATTTGTTTGCTAACTGATTCTTTCGCAACAACACAATATGCTGCAAATAGCAGAAAGCGAGTATAAGAACTTTCCTCACCATGTTCAATTGACACCAATTCGTTTATATACCAAAGAAAGACCAGATAAGTACAAGGTCCATTTATAACAGTTACCTTTTATGAGATACTGATACTAAAATCAATAGAGTAAGGTTCTATTAGTATAGAAAAATTAGAAAGATGGATGACCGAAATATAGAAAATATGTGTTATGCCAAGAAAATTTTGACAAGGTAAATACACATGTTTGTAGTTGCAGACTTGGCTACTAAAACCACTCAGCATAAGTAGTAAATGACAAATACACAAGTGAGTCAGAGAGAGTGTGCGTGACTTTACCAAGCAGATCAACTCATCACATCCCTCAACCCTCAACTCAGAGCTAAACATATGTATTTGTAAAATACAGCTAAAGCCTATGTGCCCCCCGACCATTGTTTGTGAGGACTACTTCAAATTGAAACACTATCAATAAAATTATGTGAAGCATAAAGTTTTTAACCCTTCAATGCTGATCATCCCTCAAAGGGGATAAAGCTTCAGCAATGATGGTTCACCCAGAATTTAGTAACTCGAGTCTAAAGCATGAAATATTATAGGAAGCCTTTTGATTCTTTTATAAGGTATCATACAATTGAACCAGGCAATGTCAAGACAAGAGATTTCTATATTTTCACATTTAAAATTTCTCACAACAAAATTTTCAATCATGCTACTCAAATCTCAGATTGATTTCTAGGCAAAATCCTATATTGGCATTCAGATTTTGAATGAAAATGGAATGTTTCAAGTTTCGAACCTGCAAAGCTATTGAGCTTACTCCGACCAATTATTTATTTATTTTTTTTAAGTTTCCCGTTGCACATTTTTCTCGGAAACCAAACAGTAAATCAGCTAAATAAACAAGCAAAATGAAAAAAGGTAAAAAGCATTCAAACTGCTCGAGTATTAGCCAATAACCAAGCAAATCCAAAAGTTAAAAGCGTGTTTTCTAACTAGATCCATTCACTTTCGCTAGCAATTCAAATCTCCACTCTGTTTTACATAGCTCCCCAGAAGAACAGAAACATAATAGAAAATTGCAGAGTAAAGATTAATTACCGTAACCATCCTCGACAAGAAAATTAAAAGTGTGGTGGTCACAATTGTAAGTGAACTTGTCATTAGAGGAAGGCAATCTTTGAAGACACTGAGCCGCGATCGCCGGAAAGTTCCCAGTGAACTCGGTGTACTCGGCCAAAATCATGGTTCCTCTTGCAACAAAACTGTAAATGAAGGATTCCTGACTCATTTCTATTTGAGCTCCACAGAGTCAGCTAGGGCCGAGTTTTGAGACAAAGATTTGAGAAACAGGATTAAGACAAGACAACGGGAGAGAGAGAAGCGACTAAGCGAAGGTTGTTCAGGTTATACGTTAGCGTTGTCTAAACCTTGTGTTTGGGCCGTATTTTTCTTCGATGAGAAGAAAGAATATATTTGCTTGGATTAATTTTTCGGCCTAAATAAAAGTAAACGACCGCGTTTCGTCTTCTGATGCTGCTTCTGGAGAAGGACGACTTTGTAAAAGGATTATATTTTTGAATTTTTCTTTCTCATTTTTTATAATTTAAGGGCGGTTTGACTTGATTTGACCGAATAATAAACCAAAAGGAAGGTTGCTCAAGAGACAGAGTCCTAGATTGGCGGCGGTTAATTAATTTAATTTTTATTAATAAGTAAATTGAAAGTGGACTGGCAATTATGCTAGTTTATTAATTGCATTGTGAAATTACAATATCACTCCAGTCTCCGGAAATTGATTTAGATGGTTTTATGATCAAGAGAGGATGTGTAAGTCATTGCATCTGATAATTAGAACATTGTGATTAACCAAAAAAAAAAAAGTAAAAGGGTGCTCGGACCGGAATCCGCGGTGTGATGTCTTCATATACTTTTCTTTCCAAGCTTAATTATTTTCTAATAAGAATAATGTGTATTATAAGGGTTCGTTAGGATAAGAATAGTGCTTTTTTCTAAAATAATTTATTAGAAAAATGCAAAGTTTTTTCAAAGTAATTACACAAATAATGCAATTGTATGATAGGCCATATTTTTTGAGTGTTTCAAATAGAGATTCGAACTTGGATTTATCGTTAGGTTGTACGTGGATTTACTATTATGTTTATTAATGTACACACTAATAATTGATACGAATTATTGAAACTGAACATTTTTTTTTATACAGTAGATATTTCTAGTCTATTTAATTAAGTCTAATCTTATTTGTATCTTATTAGGTTTATAAGGAATAAGTATTCCTCGAACGTAAACTTTTCATATTTGCAAATATTTAATGCTCTATATCTTGCTTAATACTTAAATCTTTTCCATTCAAATCAATCATGTTGGTCGTTGAAACTGAACCAACGATGGAATAAGGAGAATAAAAGGATTGAGATTAAGAGAATACATTATTGTTAGATTACGTGTACTTAATTAAAGAACTATAACTTTCTATTGTTTATTTAAAAAAAAAAAAATTTATTGGCTCGAATCTACCCATGCTTGCATATTGAGGTATGTAAAAATAATAAATAAAAAAAAACTGATGAAAATGGTTGGTAAAATACAAATTTAAATTCTTAAATTTTTGTTTGTCAACCTTTGTAACTTTTAGCATGTATATTAAAGACCAAGCTTTAAATTGACTGAAATTGAACAACAAATTTAAATTACTAAAGGTTAAATAAAATACGGGCTTAATTTTAACAAAAATAAAAATTTGGATAGTAAATTATACTCACGAAAATAATGAATTCGAGGATTTAATACTTTGATTCTGATTAAATTATTCCATTAAGAAGTATTTAATGTGTGTGATTATCAATATCTAAATTTTAATTAAATAAAAACTTAATTGAAATAAAAATAAAAATTGAATGGTTTAATATCAATAAATAAAAATTTAAAGATTTAATAGGCAAAATTCAACAAGTTTAGGAGATTTAAATATGCATTTTACTTCATCTATACCGTAGTCCACGGGAAGACGACGACATGCAATTATATTTTGCCATGTCAGCAAAGTATATGGCCCACTTTGCTAGAAGCGCAGATTGGATTCGGATCCATCATTGGGCAGTGAATGATGACAAAGTTCAAAACATGATTAGGGCCCACTAAAAATCAATCAAAGGCTCTCATCACTGTGATCTGTCTCCACAATTTTTTTTTTTTCTTTTTCGAAATTGTTAAATCTTTTTTCTTAATAAAAACTCAGCTAAACTCAAAGCTGAGAATGAACATAAAACGCTCTTGTTTTGCCCGCCCAGGCGCGGCCTTTAACCCAAAATTCAAATTTGATTTTTGAGTTTCTTTCTCTCTCTCTCCCTCAGCTCCAGACATTACTGTTAGATCTCTACACTTGAAAGTCCAAACAAAACAACAACGTTATTTAAAACTGCTTTAATTGAACTAAAAATCTCTTCCTCTTCATTAAACCAATTAATTATCTAATTCAACATCCAGTCGATCCGCAAATGGCAAACTCCGATTCTTCAATTCCTCCTCTTCCTGCTTCTGCTCCTCTCGCTCCTGTACTCTCTCTTTCTCCCTATCTATACACAGTCACACACACACACACTCAATGACAGATAGATCGATCGATCTAATAATTTTTGTTTTCTCTCTTTTATTGCAGAGGAAGGAGAACGTAACTCAGATTGGTTCCAAGATAGAGGTATCTTTACTTGATTTTCTAACTTTTTATTAGTTTTTTAATTTTTGTTTTTGTTTTTGTTGTTTCCGTGGAAATTTGTGTAATGTAATGTGAATTTTGAATTTATCATTTGCTAATTATTGATTTTCACTTGGGCTTTGTGGTCTAAAATGGTGGTATTGTTTGTGAATGTTCGTTATTATTAGGAATTAAATGAATCAAGGACAGAGCTTCTTAATAGAATTCAAGGCTTAAAACAGGTAAATGCCTTTTTTTTTTTTCTTTTTTTATTTAATAAAAATTTGTGAGTTTTGTAGTTTTTCTCCGATTTTATTTTGGAGAGCTATTGATATAGAGGAGTGCATTTTATTTTCATATTAGGATTTGCAAAATTGGAGATCAAAGTTGGACACTCAAGTGAAAATCTATCGCGATGTAAGTTTCTGTATCTGTCTGACTATTGTAGTTTGGTTCCCTATAATTTTTGGTGGAAAATTACATCCATTGATCATAATACAGCACAAGGAACACTAATTTTCTGTTATACTGTCTTCTTTTCTGTTCTTTATATATATAAATTGTTTCTGCACCCCTATTGGTGTGTTCATATATTCATTCAAATATTTGAATTCTGTATGCTCCATGCTCATATATTCCATTCTCAGGCCATGGAGAAAGGCGAAACTGTTGTCATTTTAGTTGTTAGGAACCTAGTGATTTAATATGAATCTTTCTGACTCAGCTTGACTATGGCTTTAGTTATATCTCTAAATGAACAAGAATCTTGGGGTTTCGAATTGAAAACTTTCATTGGAAAGTATAGGCACTCTTGAATTACTTCAAGTTTTGAGTTCTACTCGGATCTTCAATGGGATTTTAAAAGTTTTTGGTTATCTGTTATGTCTATTATTTATTGATGCAATATTTTAGTTTCATGTTAAATCAAAGTCTCTTGTCACTTTACGCGGTCTCAACAGTCTTTCACTTTAAAGAGATCTTAACTATACATTTCAGTTGGGTTAGGCTCTCTACTGTCATTTTTACAAATAAATGCACTCTGGACCCTCTAAAATTCTTGAAGTAATTCGCCTCTTAAGCATGCCTGTGTATCATAATGAGTTTGTGCAATAAAAGCCCACTATTGGACGCTCGCCTGGCCACCAGGTGTTGCTTTTTTTTACTGGAATTTTTAGCATGCTGGAGACAAATCAAGTATTTCTTTTTCTTTTTGTTTCCTGTTTTTTTTTGGTACAACACACTATCAATAGAGTTATTTCTGAGGTGAAAAGCAAAGTTCCGTCATTTATCATTTTGCCTTGCCTCTTTTCCTAATTTGAATTTACTCATTTACAAGCTCGCTACTTAGATGAAGGTATATATAACATTTGAACTTAGTCCAAGTGAAAATTAGTCTTATGCCTTTCTTAATTCTGGACTGGTTTGGTTAACTACCTCAGCCCATCCCCATAATAATAGTTATTTCCCATCCCTTAGTTGGATTGGGACCAAGGTTTAGTTCAGTTTGATGGAGGCTCTTTGTGAAATTTTTATTTCTTGATGCAGGAATTATCAGATTTGAAGAAATCACTGAATGTTGAGGTGGAACAACTTCGATCAGTAAGTATCGCAATAAAAATACTGTTCTTGTTTTCATATAGGAATTACCTTTTGTCTAGAAGTAAGTATTTCCGGTTTAATATAAATTAGGAATTTCAAGAGCTTAGGAGCACACTTCAGCAGCAACAAGAAGATGTTACGGCTAGCCTGAAAAATTTGGGGGTAAGTCTTAGCCTTTGCCTCCGTACTAATATGGTTCAATGCTTTTGGAGATTATCACAAGTACATTCTTTCTTAACTTATGCAGCTTCAGGATAGCCCAGGAGATGCTAAAGAGGTGGTCAAAGATGCCAAAGTTGAAGTAAAAAATGAAGAAGCACACGCTTCGACTGAGGAGTATACTGATAAAATCACAATTGCGTAGATGTCTAGCACGAGCATGACTTTTATATGAAATTTGTATTGCTTGTCGTTGGCATATGTATTTCATTGAAAATTCCTTTCAATCTTCGTTATCTTATGGATGCCTGACCAATATTGTTTCTATCATTCATTGCCTTATTCTTAATATCTTTGGACTTTGTGAAATGAAGCTGCGGTGTTCGAATTTTGATCGCTTTTATATGAGAAAGGGAGACCACCTACGGGCTAAGGGACAGCCTTGATCGCTTTTATATGAGAAAGGGAGACCACCTACGGGCTAAGGGACAGCCTTGATCGCTTTTATATGAGAAAGGGAGACCACCTACGGGCTAAGGGACAGCCTTGATCGCTTTTATATGAGAAAGGGAGACCTGGATGCTGCTGACCAATATCTGCTTGTCTATCATTTCATTCCTTATCGTTAATATCTTTTGGACTTTTGTGAATGAGCTGCAGGGTTTGGTTCTTCATGTTCGAATTGATCTAGCTATTTATATGAGGAAAGGGCAGACCACCTCACGCGGCTAAGGGATCAGCGCTTGATCGCTTTTATATTGAGAAGGGGAGCACCACGCTACTGCGGCTAAGCAGACAGGTCCTCAGAACGTAGACAGGTTTTTTGATCGCTTTTATATGAGAAAGGGAGACCACCTACGGGCTAAGGGACAGCCTTGATCGCTTTTATATGAGAAAGGGAGACCACCTACGGGCTAAGAGACAGTCTCAGGTAGACAGTTTTGATTGGGCTTAGGTCTCTTAAAAAGTAATGGAGGCATGCAAAGGTTTCCTGAGACCAGACTGGCCGTCGAGTGTAAAGACAAAAGGGAACTTGACTGCAAGAACCATTTGGATGGTCTAAACCGGGGACCACAATGTTCTAAAGCCACCCTTTTGGTGCAGCAGGGAGGTGAGCTTAAATTACTCGACTTGATTGTTGCCGGTGTAAAAGATCAAGGTAGGTTATGATTTTATGTGGTTTTGAAACAACAAAATCAAGAAAGTAACAATCAATTAAATGCCTACTTTCTGCAAGATAGGAAAAGGGCATTAATTGTCAACCTCCAAACAATTAATGAGATTGTGAAAAATGGCGATGTAGGTTGTCCGTCCATCCCACATTAATATTCACATATTTCCAAGAAAATTGTTTACGTGTTACAACTTACAAAACTCCAATCTAAAATAAACCTACGTAGTTTCCCAGGGAAGTTGTTGCCATTGACATGAATCTTTATTAAAAAGAGAAAGAAGAAGACTTCTCAGTGTTTCGCTATATTCAAGAAGACTCTTCTTCAAGGATAATGATGGGACTCCATATGTGACCCCATTGCTGGTTTGCCAGTTTCTTCAAGCTTTGATCACCATCAAGATCGAAACTTTCTTATAAGCCTTAAATGCCAACTCCACATGGTTCCTTCCTAGTAAATGGGGATTTTTTTTTTTTAGTTTTTTTTTTTCAGGGTTGTGTCCTGTCTTTGTCCAAAAAATCTCCTCCGGTCATGAAAATATCAATGGGCGGACAGACGGGTTTTGCAATTCTGCTTTTACCCATTATAACAACCAGAGTGCAAAATTACTCTAAATTTATCAAATTGAAAATTGTAATGAAGAATACCAAACACTAGCAGTAGCAGTTACTGTATCCAATTCTTGCTAACTTTCATCTCATATGGAACTAAGATTATTTGGGTTCCCCTTTAAGGGGTAAATTATAATTAATAAACTTAGATCCCGAAACCATATATGAAACGAAAGAGGTAAATTCTCAACTAACTAAATTAAGGAGGCAAGATGTTAAAGCATTAGAAGGAAAAGCATCGGATCGTAAATTTACCTTCTTGAAAATCTCTCACCTTATCTATTTAAATATACTCTCTCCGTCCACAAATAAATATTATATTTGTAAAATTTAAAAAGAATATTTTTTTTTCATTTTTACTCTTTCCAATTGCTATATAATTTTCTAAAATATCTCTCTTTGTTACAAATAGGACTAATATTATTAGTTTATTCAATAATTTATTACAAATTAGACAAATTAAATGACTTTTTGAAGGGTTGATAAAAGTGTAAATATGATACTTATTTGTGTACAGAGAGAATATGAAATTAGATTAGAAAATAGATATAATAGTATACTACCTATAATGTAATGTGCTAATTAATATAAAAAGAAAATTTTAATGCATGTGATGTGTGCATTAGTATTTTCTAATTAATTATTTAAAAAAAATTATTAGGAATGAATCCCTTATATAATGCACATACGTACGTGAGTTTTGAGGACAGCAAACTTGAAAAGATGAGACTCCCAAGTCTCACAATTTATTCCTTGCTGTATTTAAAGTTCAAACCCGTTTAAAGCTTTGAAGCTAATCTAGGCTCTAGCTATAAGCTAAGCTATCACTTCCTTCCTCCCTCCCTCTCTTTCACCTGGTTCTCCTGAAGAGATTGCAATGTCTACAACATTTGGAGGAGAAGAACCTCCCAAAGCTCTAAAATGCCGGGTAGGTTTGTCACTCACACTAAACCCATCTCAGTCTCATCAGTCTCTCTGCTTTTACCCTTTCTTTTTATGCATTTTCCTTGTTTCTTTCAGACATGGGTCCTTAAAGTATCTATCCACTGCCAAGGTTGCAAAAGAAAGGTCAAGAAAGTTTTACAAGCCATTGATGGTACTTCAAATAACACAATCCTTTTCTTCTTAATTAATTTCTTGCTTTCAACTTATAAGTAATAGAAAGACACATACATTCTTATTTTCTTTCACTTCTTTACTAGTGTATATATATGTGTGTGTGTGTGTGTGTGTATAACAATCTTTCTTTCTGTCATCGTTTCTTGTTTTGGGTGCTTGAAATGTTTTCTCTCTTTATTACGATGATGGAAGCTCTGTTATTTTAAATTGGTTTTAGGAGTTTATACAGCAACAGTTGATTCACAGCAACAGACAGTCACTGTTACTGGTAATATTGGAGCGGAGATATTGATAAAGAAACTCATCAAAACGGGCAAGCATGCAGAGATTTGGCCTGAAAAACTCTCTTCAAAGGAAAATGAAACGGCAAAAGCAAAAGAAACGAAGAACGGCCAAGATTACACTAATAATGGAAGGAAACAATCTGTTAAATTCAGTGGAGAAAGAAAAAGTGAAGAGACAAAGAATGTTATTAAGTCACCGGAAAGCCCCACCGATGTTGAGGAGCTGCCGGAGGTAAAGAACAAGGATCGTGAAAGTGAGGGTGGTGGTGCCAGAAATGCAGGTAAAAAGAAGAAAAAGAAAGCGCAAAAAAGTGAAAATAACAACACTGTTTCAAGCTCAGGCTCACCACCTTCTGGTTCAGCCGCAGGCAATGGATATCCAAATCAAGGGGAGGGCATTGATCAAGTAGTGGGCCCGGCTAATCTGAACCCTACACGTCAGCAGCAATGGGTTCCATTCCCACCAGGGTTCAACATTCCATTACCTCCTGTGTATGCATCAAGCTACAGTATGGTAAACCCGAGGGGAAGTCCTGGTCCGTTCTATTATGTCCCACCATATCTCCATAATACAACCACACATCAACTGGATTCTTTCTACTATTTCAGTGATGAAAATGTTAATGGATGTTCCATCATGTGATAAACCAGGAGGAGAGCAATTTTGAACTTGTTTTGGTTACGGAAAGTGAAGTGGTCAAAATTTGGGGGCAACATATTGCTGAGGAGATGGATATATATTAGACTTTGAAATTTTTGGATTTTATTTTCTTTAATATGGTCATATGGTATTTCTTTTTCTGAAATCCAAATGGTTAGCTTGTTCTTGTTTTTAATGCCCTAAAATATCACTACTAGTGCATGTTTTATATGTACATTTGCTTTGTAACTTATATTAATTAAGTAATTGGCTCATAGTACAAGAGATTACATGTTGAAATTCATGATAATTTTTTCTTTCCCTTATCAATTTCCAACGTGAAAGGAAAAAGAAAATTCGTATTGGTAATTAATAATTATTGTGGTTAGTGACCAGATGAATTTTTCAATACACATTCAGAAATCCAAAGAGATTTATAATTATAATATACTAAAAGTTGGAAATTATAATATTTCTACTACCCAATCAAGTTGGGATTCTTGGCCTTGCTTATCCGAGCAATTTGCCAATCGACTCCTGCTGATGTCAAAGAAAGACCCTGCAACTATTTGAGACAGTGGGATATAGGAAAAAACAGATAAAAATGTATGGTTTTCTTGTTTCTTTGTCAGACAGGGAGAAGGAAAGCATAAACAAGCTAGCAGGGAATATATTTTGAACCCAAAAAACTAATAAATAAATAAATAATGAATATCTTATGATTGGTGAAGCATAAGTCTGAGAAAGATCAAAGAAAACTTTTTTTGTGCCAACAACTATGAATTTTAAATAAAGGGCTCTCCCACTCGCATCAACGATTTTAAAAGAGTACAATTCCAAGAGCATTAGACAATGCCATCCATTGAGAACTTGTTCTGCTCTAAACAATTAGAGAGTACTGTTCAGAAATTCATTGCTGCTCATTGTTTGAGGATCTCACAATCATTTGGCAAGCAATGTCTAAGTTCAAGATTCTCAATTAGGGTTTTGTGATTGTAAAGAGCATCATTTGCTTTGTGGGCCTAAAAGCTTGTAAAAACCAGTCAAATAAAGATGCAACAACAGAAAAGCATTAACATGTTTAATTGTAGTTCCACTTTCAGAAGCTTGAAAGGCTGAGAAACCAAGAAGATGATGTCTGCAGGGATTGATGGGTGGATCAGATTGGCATAAAAAGAAGGGAAGCAATAAGAGTGCTGGACCATCCATTACAGAGAAAGCGATTCTTAATCTTATAAAAAGGCAAATATAATAGCACATTTGAAAATTTTCATCTAATAAAAAAAGACTTTTCCATCTGAGATGTTTTAACAATTTTTTCTGCAAAAAAAATTAGAAGGAAAGAGAAAAACCTCCAATGGTTCTATAGAAATGAACTGTAACAACAGGCGAAGTTATTTAACAAGGCAGTCGAGATAATTTTGATTTCACGCCAAAATTGCTGATGATAATCTTTTCATACAGATCAAGCATCTAATATTAGAAATTTAGATATATACAAGTTGAAAAATCTATGGATGTATAACTACAAATTCTTAAAAACTTACACATACATTGAAGCCTTCGAAGTACGCTGATTTGTTCCAAGAACAATCACAATCACAGTTACATCATCATGATATTTCCTCCTCCTACCAGCTGGTATGTTCATCAATTCTTCCATGCTGAAACCTGCATTGAAAATATTTAAAGCCTTTAAGATCTGGATGAGTAACTAGCTTAGACAAGACAATACGGCATGGATCAATTATTGCTTAGGAAATTAAGCAGATAGACTACTTGTTGTGACAGACTATTTAACTATACTTGATTAATTTTTCATAGAGTGGAAAAATTGTCCTTTTTCTTTGTTACCATTGGTAGGAATTAGAATGTGCTGTACCCGGTCAGATTCCTATCTAAGTGTGTGTCAATGTGAATTGCATTTGCATGTAGTTGGCTGCATAAGCATGTCCGCCTCTACGTTAGAAATGCATGTCATTTTAATCACAAATGTGCTAAAAAAGTAAAAAGGCTTAAAAAATCACTTGCCAATAAGAAATGAAATGAACATAAAAGCATCATATAGACCTTGCCAGACAATTTACCTGCACAATCTGCAGCTCTTGCTACAAGCTGCTCTAATAGAAACTTTGCTGGATCACCAGAGGGGTTGTTCAAGATATAAGAATTAACAAGCCTCACTGCTTCATCATTACTGAAGAAATCAAATAGCCCATCACTTCCAACTATGACAAAGTGATCGGACTTTGTGATTTTGTGCACATTCATTGATGGTTGGGTAGAAATATACGGAGGGCTCAAGAGGTTACGAACTCGAAGAATACCCATCAGTGCATCATTTAGTTTTTCCTGAATAAAAATAGTATATTACAAGAGAAGTGATAATATCATCGCAATAAGCTGAGTTAAAGGCATAGCAATCCTTCGTTGTCAATGCCAGCCTGATTTAAGGTGTTAAATACAATAAACAATACTGACCTTTTTCAGGTAACCAACTCCAAAAGCTCGGGTGACCTTCAGTTTCCCTTTCACTTTTCCACCTACAACTGTTGCAGGGTCATCAGGATGCTCACTCAGTATTCTAGTTCTTTCAAGTTCATTGTCAACAGTGTGACAATCACTGAGCTGGACAGCTTGTAGTTGCTCGTATCCATTCATCGTATTGTCTCTAGAGTGTGTTGCCAGTACAGCCCTACTATCACCCAAATTCATTGTATATAAATCCGATCCATGGAGAAGAACAACCAAGACACAAGATCCTACAGAAACTAGATCAGGGCGGTCCTCCATTTCTTGCTCCACCATGTTCAAGAAATCATTCTCAGCCTGAGTAAGAGCTCGTTGGAGACTATCTAGTACTTCATGTCTGAACGAATCGGGTGAAATTTTCAGTCTAGTGCATACATCGTTCTTGGTGACACTATCAATATTTGAATCCCTTTTATTATAATTTCCTGATGGAGTTTTCTCCAAAGGACTACCGTTAGCAGCATGAAGAGGATATTGAAGGGGGCCATCCAGGCACAGATCATTTGAAGCTCTCATAACATTCTGCCCCAATTCCCAGTCTAACGAATTAGTGTGAAAGATGATGTTTTCATATAAAGTCCCAGCCAGAAAATCAGCTGCATCTCTTCCATTGAAACCATCATAGATTGCACAAAAAAGCCACCCATTTTCTTCAGAACAGACAGCTTGAACCCTGTCTTCACCAGCCGCTCCACCTGCCACTTGAACTTCGATGGCATTAAGAAAGCCTTCATTTCTAGAAGGAGCACTAGCTGATCTCAATGAGTAAGAATCATATTCAGGTGGACTTGGAGATGATGGGCTGCAACTTAAGTATGACATACTACTTTGAAGAGAAGATGGTAATATGTCCAACTTTGAAAGAGATGGTGAAGAGGGAACTCTTCGGAATGAATTAGGGGAGTCCCAACTGGGGAGTATTTCTGCTCCTATCACACCATTACAGATATTGGTATTGGCCAATGTGGCATTAGCACTTATGGCAGCACCAGACAAGCAAGAGAAGCTACTGTTCCTGTGGAGTTTATTGTTCTTGAAGGTTTCATAGCCGTCGTCAAGCATGCAAGAGCCACTGTGGCCATTGCAATGATATCCAAAACTTACTTTGATTTCTCCTTCCTGATTAATTGAACTTGCACCTAGCATTGTTTAAGACTGAAGTAACAGAAGCATATGCACCATTATTATCCTCAGAAAAAAAAAATGCTGAAAAAATTTATAAAATTCAAATTTTCAGAAGTGGATAACATCATTGACTATGACACCACAATTGGTTATTTAATGAATCAGTCAAAAACATACAAAACTTAGAAAGTAAGAGTAGAAACCAAGGTCAGAAGCTAGTTACCAGCAATTTATGAATGCAAATCGTGAAGAAAATCTTAGGTCCATTAATAATTTGTTATCCGCTAAGAAATGAATAAATAATGCAAAACATCTTGCCAGTGTTACATGCCAGAGAAAAATATAGATGGCTAAATAAAACTCCCAGCACCTTAAGGTTGGTAACATCCTTACTTCCCTGGCAAAAATAATGTTCAATAATATCATATCTCTGTACAGCTAAATAAAGATAATTTGTTACCAGCAATGCATCAAATTCAAATTTTCTTTCTTTAAGAAAGCCTAAACAGGAATTCTGCACATGATTCTATGCATGTCACCGACTAGTTTGGTACTGAATCTTACTTGCATTAAACATGCCCCTCCAACAGTACCAACACTAATCATGGCCTTATTTTTTTTACAGCCAAGTGAAAGCAGGGAGATAATTTAGTTCAATTGAAAGTAAATGTATCAAGATTGAAATTAGATACCAAGATTCCAGTAAGGGAATCAAATAAGTTTAGATTTCTGGACGAGCATCAATTCTCTTAAGTTTCTGGTGAAACCAAATGTCAAAAAAGAAGTAGCCATCAGCATCAAAAGCTCACAAAAGCATTTCTAACTTGTGCTAACCGTAATCTCCAATTACCAGGCCTATGTAGACCACAGGTTATTAAAGGAATGAAATTAGACTAGCATGTAGAAAGATTCTAATTAAAATCCATTGCCATTTTAAGAAATGGCATTTCATACACCAGAATCATTATTATTAGCCTGTTAATTCTTTTCTTAAAAAAAAAAAAATCTAACTTTAAGCATAGATAAAAGAAACCATTCAAGAATAAGCCTATATTTAATTTCAAACCTAGATTTCTGTTGAATTTCAATTTTTTATCACTACATATCACAATGATTGCATGAATTTGAACTCTTTAGAAAGTACAAAAAATTTTGTCAGTTAAAAGGAAGAAAAATATTGAGGTGCGAAATATGGGTGCAACCCATGTACATTAATTTCCATAAAAGGTAATTGAAAAGATCGATAACATCAAAAGCACGCTCAGAAACTCTCCACTATGTCAAAGTTTACTAGTCCTAAAACGGCAAAGAGAAGGTCTTTTTCTCAATTTTCTGGAAACTTGGGTTAAATATGTAAATCATCATATTAAGAAAATATGTAAATGCACACGTACTAAGTAGGAAAAAAAAAAAACATATAAATCCAAAGAACCAATCAAGTGAAACACAGAAATTAGAAGTAGAGGAAATACAAACATATTCAACAAACTAAGCTCCTAATCCAGTAATCTAAAAAACAATTGACTGCGGAAACATACAACCAAACAGAAATACACCAACGCACAATTATTTGATATTTCAATCAAAATTCAAATCGAAACATAGTGTAATAAAGAAAACAAACAAACAAACAAGAAGAAACAGAGGTCAAAAGAAAAAAACAATATCAAGACCCACCTTAGCTTTTTTGATTCTCCAAGACACCCAGATGAATAAAACCTCAATGATATCAGAATGTGAAAGTATATATTTACAGTGAAGAGGGTTATGAAAGAAGAAGGGTACAAGTTTATTATAACAAAAGCAGAAGCAAGCAAGCAAGCAAGAAGAGAAGAGAAGACACGGAGACAAAGAGAGGGAGAAAGAGAGAAAGAGAGTGAGAGATAAATATAAAAATGTAAGAAAGATATCAATTAAAGGAAGACTAGTGGAGAATCTGTAAAACGAAGATGGGTTTGGCTTTTGAAAGAGGGAGAGAGAATTGGATGGTGGAGAAGAGTCTTTGCTATAATTAGAGGACTTTTTGTTTGGTTGAGGGTAGAGTCCTCTTTCTATGATTCAAATTCAACCATTACCGGCAATGCCGTTTATTGAGTTTTATTTGAACTCCCTGTGTTTTTCGTCTCTGCGTTTCTTCCTCAGAGATTACGTCTTACCTTTCCTTCTCATTAGTCAAAACAAAACTTTGTGACGCCGAGATAGTTGCGTTTCTTCTCCTAAATTACACTACTGCCGTTTCGTCAGGTAGATTCCTGTATTAACTGGACTCTTTTTTTTTTTTTTTTTTTTTTTTTTTTTTTTTTTTACACTACTTAGGCCGTTTTCGGCAGGTAGATTCCTGTATTAACTGGACTCTTTTTTTTTTTTTTTTTTTTTTTTTTTTTTTTTTTCTAATATTGTAAAAAAAATATGCTGGGGTTGGAAAAATCATTCTTAAGATTAGGTTAGGGCAAACTTGATAAAACTTGATATTGATAAATGATAAAAAAGAAATAACATTGGATACTTAACTTATATTTTAATTAGACACTTTTGTTTCTTTTATATTTGAAAATTTTATCTTTTTATTTCAACATCTCTTAAAAATTTGCTTTAAATTCATTATAAGGCGCGGGTCTTTTCTGTTAAATAATATATTTTTGAAATTGAAATAATTCAGATATTGGAATTACCAAAGATTAAAGATATCAATAGTGACTTTTAAAAAAATTAGAGAAAGTGAAGAATATTAATTAGAAATATAGTTAAAAAAGTCCGAGTGTATTTTTTTTTATATATAATAAAAACCAATATTATCTGAACACAGAATGGACAGAATTAATTCATCTAATAGATTGGAAATACCTACTATAATAATAATAATAATATATATAATAATAAAATAATAATAATAAGAGGCACCACCTAAGGATATACACGTATCAAATATTGTAAAAGGAGTTTTGCTTAATTTTATTTTTGGTTTTCCAATTTTTAAATACTGAATTCAACTTTATATGGCATATCAAATAATAATAATAATAGATAACAATTAATTTTAACGTACGTGAGTAATGCATAATTTTCTTAAAACTGGCTCTCGTACGTAACGTTAGCCCTAAATATTTATATTATAAAATAAAATAGAATAATTCTTCTATTTTTATCGTAACACTTTTCGAATGTTTATTATACTAAGATAAATTTGAGTAATTATAATTTTATATATATATATATATATCTACATTTAAAATTCAGATAAAACTTTCTAAAAAGGCGATTTTGTGTTTTATTAATTAACCGATACTTAATTTAATCCTACAAATTATTAATAATTATTATTAACAACGTAACATCAGATGGGGCCCGGAGAGCAGAAGCAGTTTATTAATGAACGAGTGGCCAGGAAAATATTTAGGAGAATTGTTAAAAATTTCACATTTATTTTTAAGATTTTGCTGAAAAACAAAACCATGGTAGGGACGTAAAATGCAAACTGAACATGTGCTGTGGGAGAATAAGAACGGCTCACAATCAAAACCCACAGCCCCATAATAAACCTAACCGGACTCGAACAGCAAAAATCTCTGCTTCCAACCGGTTTTTAAAGGACAATTTTCAATCTTTCACTCTAACATTCTAAACTCCGTAACCCCCTCTGGTCCTTGGTCATAATTCTTTTTTCAGTTTGAAACCGGTTTGGTTCAAAACTGCCAGTTTCAGTTCCCAGTCCGGAACAGAAGCTTGGCCAGGCTTGCCGACATGTGGACCCAATTACGGTACAGATAGTACAAGTTGCTGCCTTAGTTGGCTGCAGTGCTTATATAAACCAGGGGAACCAAATAACATACAAATCATTCAGAATTTCAGACAATGGTCATAGCTTAATCTTATTACTAAAATCTTAACTTTAAACAGGACAAATAAAGGACCACCATTATGTTTCCAATTAGTTCATCTAGGTGTATGGTCCAGCTAAGTTTATAGAGGCAGGTTTTCTGGTTAACAGACAAGTTTTTCCCCTACCAATTTCAATTCAAACTTTCCGCCACTACAAAAGATTTTTCTTTGTTATGGAACCCACAGCCCAATGCTTTCGAACTCCATTATAGATTTGATGCTAGTGCCCAGTTTGGGAGTGTCTATCATCCAGAAGATAATAATGCCACATAAGTTAAAAAAAACAAAAGAATAGCAACTTTGGCACAATGAAGAACTGGCCCCTAGTACTTGCAGCAGCAAACATAATGTAGAAACAGCACTTGATTTGAGGGAGAATTACATCTGGAAGCAGCACATACCTGTACGGATAAAAACTAGGCCCTCGAAAGCAAGCCGGTGAAAGTCAGATAAATCCCAGATTCAAGAACCAAGAAGGTTTGCCCAACTCAATCAATTTGGAACATAAAAGACTTCATTGACATACATCAGAAATAATTGTTCTATAAAGCTAAATGGCCAAAGTTTATAATTCTTTCAGGTTTGGATGAAACAGGAAACAAGAACAAAACCCATGCAATGCACTTCCAATATTTGAAAATTAAGCTATGTAGCAACGGAAACAGAAAACAAGGAAAATGCGGGGAAATGGTCACTGGACAAATGACCTTTTTTTAGATAACAACTTTACAACACTGTAAACAACATTTTACACGGGAAAAACAAACACGTGGAAATGTTTTTCCGAGATAATAGAAATGCCCATGGCTTTGCATATCCATGCATCAGTTAGTTATAGAAAAGTAGAATACTCAACAATAACAGGAAGTCACCAATTAGTATAGAATTTAATTTGAAGCATCTGCTTTCATTGGTGTTTTATATAATGCATGGGTTGTAACAATATAAAAACACAATCAATCCAGTCCTCAGACTGGTATAAACATGCTCGGTGGTTTATCAAACTCGTAGTATCTATATTAATTTAAGTAGTTTATCATGGATAGAACTATAAAACTGATTTCTTAGTTCAATTACAGCTTTACATCAACCAAATAATGAAGATGTGAAAGCAGGCATTTCATAATTTTTTTACTTGCTGGGCGCAGCTGTAATCGTCATATACTAATGTGCACAAAATGGTAGAGCAACGACCATGATTGTATCAGGAATTCAACAGTGTAAAAGACTTTTGTCATGCCCCTTCTTTGTTCCCGAATTCGAGAATCTGAACAATATTGAAAACCCATACCACAAAGAAGCTAAGTAAATATTTCAATGCATGGAAACACATGATTCCACCCTCTATATAATACGAACTCCATTAGTCCAAGAAAATTCAGAGTGAGAAATTATCAAAATTACTTAACATAACATAAATTATCCACAAATTATTTTTAAATTCTCCTGTTTTACTGCCTTTTCAGGACGAGAAGTGAAGGTCGGTACATTTAGCTGGGGCCAGACTGCAGTATAATCTTATGGACTGTGGTGCAAATGTCCAAGTGGTGCCAGATACTTTTTAGAAAACATAAATGCTGAATGATTCCATAAACATTTTAGGAAGTCCGACATAAACAAAAACAGCAATGAATTAATGCTATTTTGTCTTGATTACCATAATTTCAGTCCTACACAGAACTGCACTTAAGTTCCCCAATTAGTGAGATGATTCTTATGTCTTACGCAAATGTGAGATGAAATTACCAACCATCTATAACCTTATGCAATATAATAGACGTCTAAAACAATTTAACAACAATCAATGTTTCCCTCAATACTCAGAATCTCCGATAATGTATTGAAAAACATTAAGGTACCACCCAAGGACAGCCAAAGGAAAGTTTCCCTAACTTCAGAAACTACGAGGAGAGCTTACCCTGAAAGAAAAAGAAAATAAAAATATAAAAAAAAAGTCAATGAAACCAATATATGGCAGGCAGTAACTAAAATACGATATGAAGAATGCCAACATAAAGAAGGAACTTTTCATTGGTGGAATAGTTGGAAAAATTTTTAGTAAAATATTAGTGCTTAACTCATTCTTATTTAGGTGAAAAGAAAAAAACTTTAAGAATCTGACTATCAACCAAGTTATATTTTATGACTCCGTTTAATCAACTATAAAGAAAAGAATGAATAGAAAATGATTTGAAACAGCATGAACTATATAAAGACTTTGTACCTAGAGCACGTGGGACTGAATATAGACTGATGCCTTGTAATGGCATTGGCCTGATAAGAGTTTAAGCAATCATCCAACAAACCCAAAACAAAATACAAACACAAAAATGGGAATGGGTATCCGTAGAACTGATATAGAACTCAAAAAGTTGCAAGTTAATGGATGGACTCCTTGGAGTGCAGATAACCAAATATTAGTCTGATTTGAAAAAGGTTGAGAAATCTTGATGGTCGACACGCATTGCTTATATTTCTGTCCGACAAACAATCATCATAGTGCCAGAAAAGCAAGAATATCAACACAAACACAGTCTGCTTGGGAAATTTTTAAGATTTTCGCGGGCAATGGTAATTCAAACCACATAACCTCGAGGTATATAATCAGGAGGGAACACCACATAAATAGGAAGCATCTCATATGGCAAATACAGCAAGCGGAGAACCTGTATGACGTGAAGAAATAGATTATGAACAAATATTAAAGGGAGCTAGTCCAAATTCACTCAGCAGAAGGAAATAGAATTCTTACTTCACCACTCTAGATATTAATGTGGCATTTGCTTACTCCATCTAGTTCTTTTTTGCTTGCTCTGCAAATTCATTTTGAGGAATGGTGACCTTTATATTCAAGCAAATGGCCTGCCCAAATCAAAAATTCTGCGAAACGCTACATGATCCCAAGAAAAACCTCATGTGAGGAAGTGACGCAGTGATTTGACGTGGAAGAGGGACCATCTAGATATTTTTGCCGCTATAGATACGCAATAGTAAGATTTTGTTCCTTCGCCATCCTCTTAAAAAAAAATGGGAAAAGGAGCAATGAACATAGCGCGCCCAAGTTCAACAACAGACCGGCATGAATGGTGGAGTGATGGAACTCAAGCCATCAACACTCAATGAAAAAAAGCACACCTCTTTGGTTTTGTGTAAAGAACCTATAGCAACGCCTCTAGAAGAGTAACAGATGATGAAAATTTTGATGAACAATCTGAGTTTTGGATGAATATTATTGAATAATCTCGCCAGTGTGAGTATTCAGGTCAGCCTTCAACCTAAAGGTGACTTTAGGGCGTATAAACAGAAAACAAAAAACAGTCCCGATAGG